ATATATAGATATATAGATATATATAGATATATTATAGATATATTATAGATATATTATAGATATATTATAGATATATAGATAGATTATAGATATAAGACAATCCCCCAGCCCCGCACCTTATCCATCGTGAGCTCGTTCATCTCACCTTCGACGTCTGCTAAACGGACGTGATCGACATGCTCCTTGCAGATGCTGGAGTTCCAAGCGGCAACCCTGAACCCGAAAAGGCCCTGGGCCCTACGTCCCTCAGTCAAAGTCTGAGGCTTGAGAGGTTGATGCGTGGCGCACTCTGTCGTTGAGCTTGAAACTTATGAGACTGCGAGGTTCAATGGCCGTCCTTCCTTCTTTCCTCCCTCCCTCCCTCCCTTCCTTCCCAACCGTGAGTGGGGGTTGTGGATCGTGGGATCTGCTTGGTGTTTCTATGTGTGAGGGGGGGGATGCAGGGTTCGGACTCTGAAAGTGGTGCACTGGCTTGTCACTCGTCGGACATCATTCTTCTGAGCCACTCCCGAATGGCAGCTTATCGCAAGGCTTCACAGTTTCCGGCGAGTCTGAATTCAATGGCAGCTAGTCTGAATTCAATGGCAGCTAGCACATAATGGCTGAATGGCCAGGGCTTTTTTGTATGCTCCTACATTTGGCTGGTCAGCACATGGCCTGCAACCATGAGCCTGTGCAGCGTTGCGTCCCAGCTTCCAGCAGCTCAGAACATGGTGGCCCATGCAACTTGCTTGGAGAAATGGAGAAAAAGAAGCCCCTGCACCGGACCAGGAGGGCACCCCCATAACCATACAAAAAACACCCACACGCCCTTTCCCCGGGCGCTCCGATCGGGCGAACTCCCGGAATTCAAGTCGCGCCTGACATGGCCACGATCCGACTGCTTGGGGGGTGGGCTTCACAGGTTGCGTGCGTTTTGGGGGCAATCCGGTGGAGAATCTTGGCTCAAGGAACCTCCCCAAGCACGTATGAGAGGATACTGGGGGGATTCGGATTCCAAGCGCCGCTGAGCAACTTTTGTGCAGGAAAGGCCGGGATCTCCAAATGCTGAGCCCGGCAAAGACGAGCAGTAAGGCCTTTCATGTAAAACACCACAATAAGACCAGACTTAAACACTTGGAATCCTTCAACTCCAAGCAAACATGAAACCTCCGCCCCCCAAGACCCTGTGAAAAAACAACCCTCAAAGAGCCCCCGCAAAGGCAGCAGGGGCCTTGAGACGGTCTGAGGTCTCGTAAAGAGGATTCACCCCAGTGTCCTCTGTGTGCTTGACGTGTGTGATCTAAGCGTGCTCTACGAGTACTCCATATCATAGTTTCAGGCTTAGGGGAAAGGCCTCGAACATATTCTTGGACGTTGGCTTTGCCAAGGTTGCTTGTCGTTCTCCGGCTTTGAGAAGCTCTGGTCTGGGATAGTTCAGCCGAATCGCAAACGCAGCCCACCAAGCACCCCGAAGCGAAAACCAGGCCCGAGCACTCCTTTGTCACCCAGTCCCCTCAGTGCCCTCAGTGCCCTCCCGGAGTCCAGAGGCAGGTGCTGCAAATCCTCGTGGCACGCAAGAACAACAACTGATGCAGGGGGAGCGGGGGGGGGGGGGGGAGGATCCCTATGGGCGCTTGGAGGAAAGCATGGTCGTGGACGTATGATGACCTCTGTCTATGTGGGATATCAGATTGGCATTACAGCTTCCATTCTCCATCCGTGATCATCCCACGTCGCAGATCTCACGCAGATAACAGGGGAAGGAAGTTGATTGTGTCCACATTTCAAGCTTGGGTCCATGCGTGTCGTACGCCAATAAACCAAGCGACGCCCCTATTTTCAAGCAACAAAGACGGGACACGAAAACTGTTTTAACAAAACAACAAGCACACACCAAAACACACCCTAAAACACACCCCAACACATGCCAAGCCCTTATTCAGATCTCTTTTGTTATGTTCGCAGGGATCCCGGCGATGGCGCCCTCGTCGCCACCAGCTCCTCGCGGTACTCAAGCAGAGACTTTTTTGCCTACTTTGGGCTCTTAAGGGCTCAGCAGAACTCAGATACACTCCTGATCTCCCTCCGGCAAAGTTGGCTCCGCAATAAGTCAGTTTGCTGCAGGAATGCAAGGGCACCCGACACCCTGGCTGAAGCCTCCACGATCGGCACACCTTGCCACGAGTTTTGGGGCCCAGACCTTTCCGTCCGGCTTCGAGATCTGGATGCCCGTCATCCTCGGTGGATTCTGAGGGAATGCAGGGAAATCCCTTCAGGTCATGAGCTCCGTGCTGTCGGCAGGCTGGGGAAAAACACCGGCACGTGGTCTACAGCAAGCTGAGGTCACGAAACGAGCCCAAAAGAACCTCCGGACTTCAAGGACCAAGTCATAAGCCTCCGCGTAGAAAAAACACAAACCACAACCCGGCTCAAAGCTCTCTTAGGTCCGGGCCTTTGGGCTGCTACCGCCAAAGAAGCTGAACATGGCGAATCCAAGAGCACACGCTGTGGATGTGTGGAAAGTTGGGCGTTGAAGGTTCCCGAACTGGTAGCTAGGGCTCTAGGACATGGGCATTGGAGTTTAGATGTGGCGAGTCAGGCGTGTCCATTTCGAGATGTAGGGCGCGCGTTAAAAAGCTGTCAATCAAGCACGGTCTCCCAGCTGCAGCCTGCAACATCAAGCAAACACCATGCAGCACAAACGGGCGCAACTTGTCAACTCACAATCACAAGCTCATCCTGGGGCGTTCCATGCCACCGTCCAGAAACCGAAACGCCTCTACCCCCTGAAAATCCTCGAAGCCTTGAAAAACTAGAGGTCCCTTGGGTTTGACCACGGCCTGTCTTTTCAGGGGTTGCGATGACAGGGGGCTACCTCGAGGTCGGCTTTCGAGACAACAATGGGCCTTGAAAAACAAGGCAAGGCACCACACCCATGAACGCAGCAGCCGCATTTTTTGTTGTGGTCGAAGGCCCTCGTGTCTGGAAGTTGCACGTAGTCCAATTACACCGGCCTCGCAAACCGCTTGATTGGGGAATCCCTGGGGCTTTCAGATGATGGCCCTTCGCTTGTTTGGACATGATAGCGCGAAGTTGAAGGCACAGCCGAACTAACGGACCGAATGGGAAGCAACTGTCTTGCTTAATCTCAGATGTGGCTAATGCGGCTAATACTGTCCGGAGTCCTAACATAGCTTTGCAGATTTGTGGTACTCGGTTTTTGTCATGTCCCCTTTCGGCCTTCTTGGGATGGCGCTGGTCCCGCACACCTGCACTGTCATGGGAACACTGTTCGAGGATGCATTGTCTGCCTTTGGCATAAGCGCATAGCCTTCATGTGGAGGTCTATTATGTACGCCCTGATGCAAACCCTCCGTCGCACAAAACAAATGCCAACCAAGCTGCTGTCCACCCAGTGCTTCTTGCACGGTTGCTCCTTGGCCACTGTAAGGCTTCATGTCTACCACCCAGACTCAGACCTGATACCCGTTCATCCTAAACCCTATGGAGGGCCACGAACACATGGGAAGAGGAGTAAAAGGACTCACAGGAAACCAGGGACCCAGAAACCCAAGAAGGGGTCCCTTGCTAAGACCCCCGCGAAGCGAGCCCACGGCCACAGAGCCAGACGAACAAAACAGACAACAATGGCCCCTCCCTCGTCATAGTCGTTCAAGACACGGACTCCGCCTCCCACGCCGCTCGCTTCTGGGCGCGTGAGCTGAAAAATGCACACTGGAAAGTGGCTTCGTGTGTGAGGGGTTATGGGCGGATGACACGAAATCATCTTCCTAACATGGGGGGGGGGCCGGGTTCATTTGGGAATCCTACACCATGTCCAACAAACCCAGGCGTACAATTCAGGTCGCTGCACCACATCTGGCGCAATTCCATTACAGGTGCTTCTTCGTAAAGCAGAGCTGGGGTTTGTGCATTTCTCTAGGGTTGTAAGCGGGACACCTTCTGTCCGAACAAGTGTAAATGAGTTTGGCGCCATTGCCATGCACAGTTGACATACACGGTTTATCAGGTCTGAGGGTGCAGGATGTAGCGGTCTAGGGAATTCTGGGACAGCCTCCTCCCATTTTGGGGGTTACGGGTCCATTCAGGTATCTTCAATAGAGGGCCCATGCTGATGGTAGCAAGCACTATGCAGCAGTCAAGACCCACTTCAAAACTAGAAGCCTCCAACGCAGCACGCCCTTAGACCACGTGATCTCTGAGTAACACCGACAATCTGCGTGACTTAGCCGGAGATTTTTGCAACTTGTTCCAATGGCCAGGCCTTGTTGAGCCAGGCCGAAAAAGTGGACATGGCTAGGGAACCCGTGCCTGTCTTGGACTTTTCGGGCACCTCCAAACCTCGGAACCCACGGGAGCCGAGAGGCTGCGCGTCGGGCTGCAGGGCCTTCGACTTTCGGATTCATGGCTTCGGCGGCTTCATGGACTTCGTGGGCGTCATGAAGCAGGCATGAACTGATCTTCCTCAGCTGTTCTTGCGAATAGGAGGCTCCCGATTGGTCTCAGTACAAAAGATAAGCTGCAGCGGACATGTTTTTGCTCCACCGCCAGGGTCGTGCAGAGAGCCCACCTATCGTGGTTTGGCGTCTTGTTCTTTGGGGATCGCGGGCTGAGGGTAGTTTGTACACACTCGACCAAGCAGGGACTGTGCACATGACAAACCTACCTAATTCTACACGAGGTAGCGCCGATTCGGAGATGTAACCTCTTAATGCCTCGAACCTTTCCTAAGGAACTCTGCTTCCTGCATCCACCCATGTGTTAGTTGAAAAACTCTGGTAGGACTATCGACTATCGCTATCGTGCAGTCTCTGCTTGGCTTCAAACGCAACACAAAGCAATACCACGCCAAACTTCGGGCATTGCGCAAGAAGTGACTCCTCCGACTTAGGTTGAAAGCTTGAAGCTGTTGCACAGGGGCTGAAACTCTTCTCAACTTGCTCATACACCACTGCGAAGAAACGATTCAGAGAGACATCTTGCGCCACTATCATCCATCACCCCTCTGAGAAGCTACGAATGATGGGTTCCAACTCTGGCGAAACAGGGTATGCCGGGCATGCGGCGCACTCCAAGATTTCAGGATCATTGATGGAGCCATGCACCTGCAAGCACGTATGGCAAACCATAAAATCCTCAGCGATACCTTCCGCAAAGGTGAAGCCAAGGGATTGGTTTCCTTTCCTACGACCTAGCAGCTTCAGATCCGCGAGCGTCGCCTCCCCCATCGCAAAGCGCTCCTCTGCGCGGTTCTCGGCTTTTCGCTCTAAAGCTTCGAAGTCCACCGTCGAGGTGACGACCTCTTCTTCACTCTGCTCCGATGCTGCGAATGTCGCCAGTTTGACGGGTGGGGACGTACACGGGGAAACCTGAGACAACAGCTGTTCCTCCAGAGAATCGCCGTCGTCGTCGTCTTCCTCATAAGTCCCTGGGATGGCTTTGGGCACTCCGCGGAAGAGCCCAGACAGCACAGCATCCCCTCCACCATCCCCTCCAGCATCCCCAGCATCCCCTCCACCGTCTCCTCCATCTTCGACATGTCTTGGAGCGGCTTTGGGAACTTTGGGAATACCCCGAAATCCAGGGGCCGGCTGATTCGCGCCTCCGTCTTCGTAGGTGGCCGGACTGGCTCTGACGGCTTTCGGAATGGGAACGCCTCCGTCTTCGTAAGCGGCCGGACTGGCTCTGACGGCTTTCGGAATGCGAACGGCAGGCCCAATGGCAGGCTTAATGGCAGGCCCAATGGCAGGCTTACTGGCTGGCCCAGTGAGCACCTCTGCGTACCCATTCTTCTTGTAAATCTGTGCAGCTTTGGCAGCTTTGGGTATGGCCGGCAGCTGTGGAACTGGAGAGGCATCTTCGTCCTCCTCTCAAGCTGCTGAGCTGTTGGGCACGACATGCAGACAACAAAGCCTTCATGCATTTTGAAGTTTCCCGTCAAGAATTAGCGCTATGCTCATTGAACTCATTGGTGCAACTGGCACACTTCGCTGCACATGTCTTTCGAATGATACTGGGTGAAAGAAAAGTGCAGCAGTAGGCTAGGTCATGACGAAAACATCCCCTAGCCTTGACTTCCATGAACGAATTTCCACGCTGCAAGTTGGGACAAGACGAAACATGTTGAAAAGAGTCTGCGCCCCTAGCATCTTGTCACAGAACCCAGTGTCTCGTGCCCTGCTCCACTCGGTAGACCTGAGAAGGGTCGTCAATCCTGGAATTTAGGGTTTAGGGTTTAGGGTTTAGGGTTTAGGGTTTAGGGTTTAGGGTTTAGGGTTTAGGGTTTAGGGTCTCCTCCTCCTCCTCGGAGAAATGGTCGCAGGACTCTGGAGGCAAAACGCTCCAGGCTGCTGCTATTCTGGCCTTCTTCCTGGGCTGCTCCGATGGGGAGCTGGGATGCAAAAGTTAGGGTTTAGGGTTTCGGGTTTCGGGTTTAGGGTTTGGGGTTTGGTGTTTGGGGCTTTTTTCTCTGGCTAACTATTTGCGATGCAGTGCTGATTGCCCTAACATCCAGAGTCACTGCGATTCTTTTCAGCCTCTACGTTTTGTCCCTGTTGCTGGGGAAGAGCTAGCAAAAATAGGGCTGAATCTGGTCCCCCATGTCATGCTTTCTACTCAATCCAGATCGCTGACAAACGCATTGACGCAGAGCTCAATGGATGCCGGTTTAAGGTTTCCCTAACTGCACCCTAGACCCCCAAAGCCCCAAAACCCTACATCCTTTGACCACTACAGACCCAGTTCGGGGCCCCAGAGACGCGAAGAGTTACGTTGGGGCTGTGGGGTAGTAGGCCGCGTTCGGCCCCCAATTCTTCATTGCCTCAGAACCAATTGCATGACTTTCCACAGCCTTTTCGGCCAAGGGCCTTGGACTTCGAAACTCGGAGACGCTGGCGGATGCGTAGTGCGTTTGTCAGGATGTCCTCCTACAGCCCAACGAGCCTCAACCCTAAACCACGTGAACCCTGAACCACGTGAACCCTGAACCCTGAAAACCAGGAAAGATACATTCCTGAGCTAGGCTTCGGCGGGGGATGCTGCGGGGCCAGCGGGCGCTTGGTGGCTGCAGCTGGGATGATGCAGTGAATCCCGTTCCTTGGGGAGTCTGTTCTTGTTTGTTGATGGTTTCTTGGGTTTAGGGTTTAGGGTCTAGGGTCTAGGGTTTAGGGTTTAGGGTTAGGGGACAAGGGGACCCAAGAGCTTTGGGCGGATGCTTTCGGACGCCAGGCGGGCTTAACGGAAGGTGCGTGCTTGTGTTTACCCCAGAAGCTTGCAAGGCGTGGCGCTGTGGACGTAAGGCAGTGCTGGGATAGATACAGTCGGACTTTGGGCTTGAGGAGAATATTCGCCAACAAACGTGTCCTCTAAACCCGAAATCTTTCCCCCGCCTCCAAGAACCCACAACAGCCAGCACAAGAACAAGCTGGGCACTGTGTTGTTCCGACGCTCTTAACGCTGCAAATGCAAGAGTCCGAGGCGGGCCAGGAGCGCGGATGACGCGTGTGCCTCTGGGGTTGAGGGCGGGAATCCAGCCTATTTCGCAATCCTGCATGATCCTGCATGGTGGCCACATGGGGTCTTCCAAGGTGCCGAACATAAAGTTAGTGATTGGAATAAGAAACTCAGCATCCATGATGCAGCCATGTCATGCTTGCCGCTGGGCGCTTCAGCGCAGCGGTGCGCACATCGTCGCCAGTAGACATGAAGTACTGAGGCCAGGATCGTTTTTCATGGTATGCTGGCGGCAGGTTCTCCAGGCTTGCGTTGCCTTGCCTCTCGACATCGGCATGTTGCATAGCCTGCCTGCCTTGGTCGTTCTCGTGCACAGGCTTGCTTAGGAGCATGTGCCACGAAGGCCAGATCTCCCGGCGCATCTCAAAAGCAGTCTCCTCTCGCTGCCTTGCCAGGGTGTGCACGCTAGGACCCTGTCCCCACTGATCTAGCAGCTAGCCCCAGCATTGTTTCCACACAAGGGAGAATGGAGCAATGCTGCTGTTGGACCAGTGGGCTAATTGTATTGGGAAGTCTGGGAAGTGTAGAAGGAGTACGCGGACAGGGTCCTGGATAGTTTGCAAAAGCCCGGCAAGGCAGCCAAAGGAGACTGTTGTCGAGATACGCCGGGAGATCCGGCCTCGCATGCTCCTGTGCTCTTGCCTTATGGGCTCTGTAGGCCTCTGGTGCCGGACAAGTCTGCGAGCAGGAAGGACCTGAAAGACTCTGCCTTCCGGACCTTCTTGAACGAGCAAGACTGGCAGGCGGAGCAGCTATCGCGAATCTTTGAGACTCGTCTCTTGCCTCGAGGAAACATCTGCTGACGGCAAGGCTTCAACGATGCCAATCTTGCAACCCGGCAGCGCTACTGATTTCTTTTTTACATAATTCGCCTCGGCTTCCTGCCGAGAAGCGTTTAAAGCAAGCAGACCCGGATTGGGCCTCCTCCGCGCGCGCGCGCAAGCGTTACAATTACTTAACTACCCAGAACGTGGAACATCGGCGAAGCTGCCTGCTTATGACTCCTCTTGAACTAAAGCGAGCAGGATCGACTGCCCGACAAGCGCGCATACAAACGAACCTTTGCGGCCCCTTCCCGAGATTAAAGGCCACGACCAGAAACCCTAAACCCTACAAACCCTACACCCTAAGCTCTCAACCCTACAAACCCTAAACCCTAAACCCCTCAACCCTACAAACTACAAACCCTACACCCTAAACCCCACACCCCAAACCCTGCAAACCTTAAACCCTACAAACCCTACAAACCCTACAAACCCTATACAAACCCTACAAACCCTACAAACCCTACAAACCCTACAAACCCTACAAGCCCTGACCGCCCAACAGCGCGCCGCCACATCCGCGCAAGGCGGGGATCGCCGCGGGGATCTGGCGGCCATTGGACGGAGGCCCCAAGGCAGGGCGCAGCGGTCGCAGCGGCCGCATCCAAGGGCTCGGGCCTCTTCGTTGGCCAAGCAGGGCTTTTGGGGTTAGGGTTTAGGGTATTTAGGGTTTAGGGTTTTGGGTTTAGGGTTTTGGGTTCAGGGTTTAGGGTTTAGGGTTTAGGGTTTTCATGAGGCCAGGACTTCAACAGCGTGGCAAGCCCAAGCCTTGCACCGGCGGTGTGCATGGCGCGCGCGGCAGGAACGGAGCCGCGGGCACCTGAGAGAACCAACCCCCCAACAGAGCCCAGGAACCACAAAACCATAGCACAAAAACCTTCAGACTACCATGACACAACCATGACACAGCCATGACACAGCCATGACACAACCATGACACAACCATGACACACGTGAGCGCGTAACTCGTGCTGGGGTGAACAGCCGAGCTTTGCTAGATTGCGTGATGAGGCTCTTATCTATGGCCTGAAGGATTTCAGGAATTCGGGGCTCGGGGCCGTCGAGGTGTTGGCCTTTGATGGTTCCGCGCTTTGAAGTGTATGCAGGCTAGAGAAGGAGCACACCAGAAAATTGAAAGGCAAAGGCATGATGCTGCTTGCTGCAACTCCCTGACTCTAAAGGGTGTTCTTTAGAGTCCTTGGGCGAACTCCTCCCGGGGTTTCGAGGCTCCTGCCTGCTCACAGGCCGCATCGTGCTGCGGAGCTACTCCGGAGGCAAGGGATGCGTGGCAGCCTTGAAAAACCCCGACTCTTGCGACTCAGAAAAATTCTGCAAAGTGCCCCTTCCTATGCCCAGGAAGGCCTGTTCAGCGTGCTCAGTGTGCAGGTCACAAGCTCCAAGCCTCCGACAGGCCCCTCCGCCCCCACCCAAAACAGGACGCCTCGGCAGCAGAAGCCCCCAAGGGAGCGATCGGAGCAGACGCGCAGACCGCACTCTTGGTTGGCACAGGCCTGGATCCTTGGAGGGATGCTTCGGCGCAAAAACCAAGGGTTCAGGGTTTAGGGTTATTAGGGTGATCAGGGTTATTGGGGTAATAAGGGTTTGACGGGCTTTTAAGGGTTTGGTATTGGATAGGTGAAGCTGAGAACTTCGAAGCTGCAACCTGCTGGTGTGGAAAGTGGAGGCAATGAGAGCTCTGCCAAATTGGGTCGGCAGGCGGGTTCCAGGAGCACACTGCGGAAACGCATACGGCGAAACCCGAAACCCTATACCCTTAACCCTTAACCCTTAAACCCTAAACCAACGATTTTCAATTCCCTAGCTCAGAGTCCACCAAGCCTGAGGTCCTCAAAAACTCTGGGCCATTGTATACTCTACTCTCCAGACACGGAGGAACTTCAGCGGATTGCGAAAGGGTTAAGCGAGCCTCTCTTCGACCTTCTTCGACTGAAATCAAGAAGAGTGGGGGAGGGGGGGGGGGGGGGGTGATTCGAGAAGAGTACATGGGCAGTTCTCGAAATTAGGGTCCTTTTTTTGTCCCTTTTATGGTACGGAGCACCCTTTAACAAAAGGACCCCTTAAAGGCGAGATCCTAATTTAGTAAACTACCCTCACATCTCTCACAATTACTTTAAGGCCGAGCGTCTTCCTGGGATCCAGTGTGGACATTGCGGCCAAAGGCGGCTTTTCTATTTCAGTTTACTACAGGTTTTGCTTTTCTCATTTGATATTAGAGGCTTAGTAGCAGACGCTTAGTAAGAACGGCAGTTAGGGGCTTTCAATGGAAGGAGTCGGTTACCGCAGTTTTGGTTGGCTTTTCTTGGACTTGGAATCTTGGTCCATGGAGTCATTAAGGATCGTTGGGTTGCGAGCCCATGTCAGGTTGCACGTAGGAGCATGTAGGCGTAGAGGGCTCGCCCTGTGAAGTGTACGCAACAGCTTGGGGCTTTCGGCTCTTTTTGTTTTCCTTTTTGGCTTAGTTTTGTGGGGGGGGGGGGGGGGGCAGATGCAAGCATGCAGATTTTACAAGCCAAGCCGGCCCACGGCAGCCCTACGGTTGCCTGCAAGGTTCTACGCCGCCTCCGAGCCGGACAGGAATGCGACATGTGTTCGGGCGGTGAGGTTCAGAGTTCCGGGATTCGGCTTGCAGAGTTCGAGGTACAGGGCTGTGGACCTAACATCTGCTAACATTTCGTAAACCTTCACGACCTTATTCATGCCTCAAGCCAAGATGAGCCTCGCTTTGAAGACAGGCCAAAAGCCGGGGAACGGCTGCCCAGGCGTCTTCAGGTTTTGGATGCGGGCGGTGTCATTTCAACAAGTGCTGTCTCCTAGCGGCTTAGCGGCCTAGCGAACATGCTGGGAGCCATTGCAGCTGTTTGCAGCTTGGCGGACCCAGAATGCCAGCAACAGTAAGGTCTCTCCCATTGCCCGAACTGCCCTAACTAGGGGCCTCCAGCAATGCAACAATCTCGCTATGTCCTCGATCAAGCGCACGGGAGAGAGGCGTCGCGCCCGGATTATTCGCCACGTCCCTGTCAGCTCGGGCCTCCAGCAAAGAGCTCACAACCTCCTCGTGACCCTTGGCAGCTGCGCAAAATAGGGCTGTGTCGCCGTCCTTGTCAGCAGCATCCGTGTTAGCCCGTGCCCGCAACAAGAATTCAACAATCTGGCATTCCCCGATGTCGGCAGCACGAATGAGCGCCGTCATGCCGCTAAAGTCTGCGATGTCGGTGTTGGCCCTCTCCTGCAGAAGCATGCTCACAACTTCGGCATGTCCTTGGCCCGAGGCCAATGACAAGGCTGAGCAGCCCTGTGCAGTGGCCACGTCTGTATCAGCTCTGGCCTCCAGAAGCAAACGCACAACTTCGACTAGCCCATGTTCACACGCAGCAGACAAAGCAGTGCAGTCACTGCCGACCATGTCTATGCTAGCTCGGGCCTCTAAGAGCAAACGCACAACTCCGGCGTGGCCATTGTTCGAGGCAGACATTAACGCTGTCCAACCCCTTGGGCCAATCCCGACCGGAAAATCCACATCAGCTTCTGCTTCCAACAGCAACTCCACGACAGCGCCATGACCCTCCCAAGCCGCGCGCATCAGGGGCCTCTCACCAAAGGAAGCTTCCAAGTTCGGATCTATGGGCAACTGCAGCATTTCCTCCAGCCGCGCCACCTCGCCATCAGCTGCAGCACTTATGAAAGTGTCCACATCACGCTGTGGAATATCCTGGAAGGGAAGCAAAAGCAGCTGCACTTCCAGATCGGTGTCCGGTGAAGTCTCATCTTGCAAGGCAGTCCCGCTTTGTAACAGCCTTTGACGAAATCTTGGCAGTCCGCACAGTTTGTGCAAACGCCGCTTCAAGCTCAAGACATCACCTAGCTCCTGGACTGCGATGGTGGCCACCTTCTCGCCGGCAACACCCCAAACGTGCAGCATCACAGCCGGACTCGCGAGAAACTCTACGGCAAAACCAAGTCTACATCGCCCTGCTAAGCCACCGCCCGCCGCTGCAAGCTCTCTGTGGATAGGGTCATGGGGTATGCAACAGCCGCACATGAGGTGGTTGAAACGTGGTCGAAACGTGGTTGAGATGTATAATGTGGTTTTGAACTTCTTGTTTGGAGTGTGTGGAGGTGCATGCCCTGCCTTGGCATATGTTGGCTGCCCCTCCATAGCGTCGGGGGGGGGGCTTCCCAGATTCCCAGAGGGTCAGCTAGGACTGGCGTACACGAAGCCATGCCTCGGAACACCTGTCTCACGCCTATAGAGGAGCATGCAGGGTGACCTTTATACGCCTACAGCGTCATGCCTTGGGAAGCTCCGGACTCCTTTCATGCCTAGGGAGCTCTGGAAAGAGGAGCTCCACAGCAACCCTAAACCCTAAACCCTAAACCCTAAACCCTAAACCCTAAACCCTAAACCCTAAACCCTAAACCCTAAACCCTAACCCTAAACCCTAAACCCTAAACCCTAAACCCTAAACCTAAGACCCGCCATCTTTTGGAGCGCGATCTCATAACGTCTCGCAGACCTGTGGTGCAAATTTGCCTTTGGCAGGGCCACGGTGCGACTAGGGTTGGGCCCCTCCATCTTCAAAACCCACGAAGCACAACAGCGTTGGGAGATCGGACTACGGGCATCTGCTCTACATGAAGCCTATGTTAACGCGGGGCAGCTTCGCAGCTGTGCGCAGCGAAATGCCTATACCTATACGACCAGCCTATCTGGAACCCAGCTGAATGTCAGGGTCCTCGCAACGAGGGGTGAGACACGGCATCGAAACGCGTCTTGTCCGGCGAAGCTCGACACCATTCCCGCAAATATGCCAACATGCAAGGAGGCCTGCGCAAAACCCATGCCAAGAAAGCAACACCCACAGAAACCTGACGCAGCAAGGCGTATCGGCGTAACGAAGACCTCTTGTGCCGAAGACTTGGACCATCCTGCCGGACGACTGAAAAATGGTGCACACGGGGTCGGGTCAGACCCTCCCTCAAAAAGATCTGCACTCTGCGGCGCGGGGCGATCTCGACACCAGAATCCCGAAGAGAGAGACAAGAATCCTGGGCACGACCGCAACCCCCCCCCCCCCTCCCGGCTTTTTCGGGAGCGAAACTCAAGGATGCATGTTATACATATATATGTATATATATATATAGAGAGAGAGAGAGAGAATACCCAGAAAAGCACCGTTCGTTGAAACGCTCCCCCATGCTTTAGGGCTTTAGGGCCGAGGAGCCATGAATGAAGCCCGTAAAGAGGCCAAATCTTGAGAGCTCGCCCCCCTCCACATGTACACGAAACCGTCGCTTGTCCGGGCATTTTACCCGACAGCTCCCTGTCGCAAGCACAGCGCCGTTGGCTTTGGGGGGGCTTGTGGGGGGTCTCAAAACCGGAAACCCTATGGTACTATGGGCCCTAAAGGCCCCAAGCTGCGAGGTCTTGGGATGTGGCTCTCGGCTTGCGGAAGGGCGATGCAAAACAAAAGGGACTGCCCTCGATAGGCTCACGTCATCTCTTCCACCTCAGCTGATCCTAAAGCCCAAAAGTGTGGCATCTGGAGCACTTCTGGAACCAATGGGGGGGTTTTCTGAAAGAAGTTCCGCCACGAACGGTCAAAACGCAACAGAAGAGTTCTGCATGTTCAGGCACCATGTTCTGCATGACCAGTGAATGGCAGTTCGTGTTCCCACATCCCACAAGAACTGTAAGGCCCGAAAGCGCTGGGCCCGTGGCGATGGTAAGTCTGACAGTTGCAGCGCCACTGCCCTGACGAGAGCGCGCCATTACTTGAGTCTATTTATTGTGCTTCGAAAAACGCTCTTCAGGCCCGACATCGTCTGCGTTTTGCTCAGATGCTCGGGGCTTCCACGGCCTGTTGCTCCCAGGGTTCGTGCTTGTTGTAGAATGTGTGGGGGCGTGTCTCTGCGTATTCAAGCTTCACGATGGTTCTGCCAAGTCGGTCTGACAAGGCCGTGCGATCCTTATCCAGGAGCGGACTTGACAAGTGTTGTGAGTGTCACACTCCAGAGTTCCAAAAACAGACCGCAGTGCCACCCAGATGCCCAAGCCACAAGGCCCTCCTAAAATGGGCTCTCGGACAAAGAGCCCCCAAAAAATCTCGGGCCCACCTATACCTCACAACACTGCCCCCGAGCGCGCCCCGAACACGAGGATCTTAAGCACACGTTGGGGGCCTTCGAAGACCCACAAAACTCCGTCCCCCGAAATGCGTCACCCCCGCCCCCCTCACCCCCCCCCCCCCCCAAAAAAAAAAAAAAAACGCGGATGGCTTCCAGTCTTCCGTCGCACGCCCGGGCGAAGACCTCGGAGCTCAAGGGGCCGGGGCAACTCGGGAACTCAGGAACCCCCCCATGTGTTCACACGGGGTCCGAAATGGGGGGCTTATGAGGGGGGCTTTTGAGTTGTGTCTTGTGCCTCTGAGGGTGGACTTGTGGGGCCCGATGTGCCCACGAAAAGACATCCCAGCTGCTTTGGGGGACTTTGTGCTCTACAGTGGTGCAGAGACTACAGAGTCTACGTCCTGCAGTTGTACTTTTGGATCTTCAAGCTCGGGTTCAGTCTGCACTGAGTGTCGTTCATGGGGTTCACCTCCTAAACCCTAAACCCTAAACCCTATAAACCCTAAACCCGAACTGGGTCATCGGCTGAAGGTACAGGTTCGTGGCCTTCAGCTTCTGCACGGTCGGATCCATGTAGTACTGCACCACTTGCTGCTCCCTTGCAGGGAACGTGTGCTGGAAAGTATGCATATCACATAGTGCCGAAGCTCGGGGGGACTTTGCAAGGCTGATATCTTTCGCTCGCAGGCGAGCTCTTTGGGGCCTTGATGAGTTCGGCAACCCAAAAACGCTCCACGCCACAGAAGAAAGCTCAAGTGCGTCAAGAGCGCCGTGGTCTGCGAAACGCTCAAGCGTTTCGGGGTTTGGGTGGGAAGTGGCTTGCACTTCAGGCTTACATTGGCTTAGGGTTGTGCTTCTGTTCACCTTAGGGTTTATCGAGCCAACACTTTCGGAGGATTGGGACGACTGGGATCCCGAATCTGGCACCGGCTGGACGCGAGCCATGCGGGCCTCATCAACATCACTTTCCTCCGTGCCTGCCGCCTTCGGACATAGGCCTCAACACAAACACAGAGATCTCTCTTCATCAGCAGGGTTCTTTTGCTGGGGCATGCGGAGAGATTAACTGCGTGTGCTCTTGAATTTCTGTTCTTATTTTTCGGTGCACCGTCCCTCAACACATCGGAGTCCAGGGTTTAGGGGATCTAGCAGTTTTGGGACTAGAGTTGGGAATTTTCGGACTTTGCTGGGGGAGGGGGCTTGTGCCATAGTCATAGCGTTTGAAATCCAAAGCTTCGGAACTAGCGACGATCTTGCTCTGTAGTTCCCCCCATCCTTCTAAGCAGTAAGGACGCAGAAGTAGCAAGCAATACTCCGGCGGCTTGCGCCATTTTGCTACAGATATACATGCCCCAGCATAAGCAACGGGCACGTTGTTCGTGCTCAGGGTCAACCCACAAACCCAGATGTCAAGCTCATCAAAAGACACGCTTCGAAGTACACCAAAACAAGAGGGCTCCTACAGAGACAAGACCCTTTCGGGAAGCGCTCACGAGAGTTCCATTGAGGTCCCCCGAAGAAGGCGCCTGAAGTCTGATGATGACCTCAGCCGAGAATCGAAACCCGCGAGGAAGCGGGCGTGCAGCTATAGTAGATGTGGATTTGTGGATCGGGTTGGGGGGGGCTCCAGGTCAATGCATCTGATCGGGCCCGAGCTGTCCAAATGATTGGGTTTCCAGCTCCTCCCCCCCTCTCGACACAATGAGCCCTCCCAAGACGAGCCCCATCAGACCTGCTGGAAAAAACATCGGGATCGGATGCTGGGTTTGTCCCTATGTTAAGAGTTCCCAGGACCTCCCTCAACGTGGGCTCAGGGGGGTTAACGGGTTTCTAGGGTCCACCGTCCTGTGGCCTTGCGCAGCGAGGAACCCCATCACTTGCCCACACCAAGTGCGCTATCAGGCGCTGTCTCTTGACCCAGCAGAGTCGCGAAGCCCCCACACACACACTCTAGACTCGACTTCTGTCGAACTGCAAGCTCCAAATTCTTCCAAAGGTCTGGCAAGCTTCTGGATCTGCAATGGAAATCTGTACTTATTGTTAAAATGGCCAAGGATGCAGCAACAGCTTTGAGGGTATTTTTGGGATGGCCTGCAGGTACACAGTTCAGCGTCCTGAACTGTTTCCCACTCCAAGGCATAGCTTCGTTGCACTGGGTTTGCCAAGGAGTGCCCAATGCCCCTGCGAACTTCACTGCGGAAAGTTAAGTGCAAAACAGATGCCCTTTGGTACAGGGCTTGACACACACACCCCTCCTTGCGTTGGAGGGGAGTTTTTCGGGTTTTTTTTTAGGGGCATAAGAAAGTCGACTGAGAGGGAAACCTCAACCTGGGGACAGTAGAGCCTCGGAATTACGTGGACTGCTTACAACGCTCGCACTCAAGACGCCAAGCGACTGACGAGGAAACCTCAACTTGGGGACACTAGAGCCTCGGAATTAGGGGGACTGCCTACAGTGAACAAGCGAAAGAGCAGTCCACTGCCCATTGAGTCATCTGAGATTTCCTTAGCGCGGCTGCCGGGATCGTCTTTCCGACCTTCATCGGCCTCAGCTGGTTCCCGTCTTCCGGATCATGTGAGAATTCCTTCGTGTGAATGCCGGAATCATCATTCCGGCCCTGAGAGTCCTTAGTTGGTTCCTTGGTCCTTCATTGGCTCCACCAGTTGTGGATATAGCAAGCACAACCCCTGCTGTATAAAGAACAGAGCCGACAAGGGGGAAACTTGAACCTGGGGACACTAGAGCCTCGGAATTACAGGGACTGCCTATTTCGTCCGAAGCGAAACAAGAACCAGACCGCAGGTACTGCGTTGCACTCTTTGGGCGGACTCCTGGAGGATCCATGATCAGCGTCAAGCAATTTGCACTCTGTGGGTGGAGCCCTGGGGGATCCATGATAAAGTCAAGCAATCGTGGAGCTGATTATGTAAAGTCACGTGAACTGTCTGCAAGCAAACAGAACGAATGAGAAGCTGAATCAATTGTAAAGTCATTCGTAACAAACTTCTTTGAGGCCCTGACATCAAGCAAGACAATTCATGCGTTAGTTGAAAGACTCCTCCCGTCGCTTGAGAGTCAAGGAAGTCAAAAGCTTCGGTTAAGTCAATCGTGAAGTCAGACTTGTGAGAGCATCCTCCCACGTAGTTGGCGCCCAAAGGGATTGCCGAACTGACACACACTCTAGACTCGACTTCTGTCGAACTGCAAGCTCCAAATTCTTCCAAAGGTCTGGCAAGCTTCTGGATCTGCAATGGAAATCTGTACTTATTTTTAAAATGGCCAAGGATGCAGCAACAGCTTTGAGGGTGTTTTTGGGATGGCCTGCAGGTACACAGTTCAGCGTCCTGAACTGTTTCCCACTCCAAGGCATAGCTTCGTTGCACTGGGTTTGCCAAGGAGTGCCCAATGCCCCTGCGAACTTCACTGCGGAAAGTTAAGTGCAAAACAGATGCCCTTTGGTACAGGGCTTGACACACACACACACAACCCGCAGAGAATTCCAGTGCAGCTGCGCAGCATGCAACACCTTGTCGACCCTTTTGCCCTCCAGAAGCAGGAGCTCTGCCTCACCGCTTGGAGCTTAGAGCTGCGAGCTTTCCTTGAGGTGCCCCTTAAGACTTAGTGACTTAGTGAAGCCTCTTTCTTCACAGCCTCGTCCTCCAAGTTCGAAACAAAAATAAGTACCACGGTCCGGTTGTCTGCTACGTCTGCTTCAGGACCTGTCGATTCTGCGATGCCCTCTGCCTCTTTCCGTACTTGGCTGCCACTCCACGGTTCTGGTCGAGGATGAACGAGCATGAAGCAAGCTGAAGTACATCCGAGCCATAAAAATCCTCCTACAAGACAACAACCGGAAACCCTCTTCAAAAGTACTCCCCCCCGCCCGGTGCCTGCAGGGTCTTTCGGTAAACCTCCGGGTCCATGGAGCCATTGACTAAACGGCTTGTCACCTTCGGCGCCTGCCCAGGGCCCTCTTAACAAAGCACATGTGACTTTGTGAAGACTGCTGGGCTACTCTGGTGAGTTGTCACCCCAGGCTCATAAAGTTGCAGCGCCTGAGGGGGAAGAGCTGAAGTTCTGGATTGGCATAAGATTCGTCATCTTGCCACAGAGCAGTCGGAAGGGCGCAAGCAGAGTTGGGGCCCCAGGCCTTCGGAGGATCGAATGGTTCATCCTCCACATGTTCGGATCGCATCTCTGACATGCCGTACCACTCTGCTAATGCTCCATATGCGGAATTTGCAACACCCAAGATCTGCGTAGTGCCCAATGAACTTCACACAAGAGTGCTTCGCCTCCATCAGAAACCCGAGCAACAGCAGTCTGCCGCCCATCAGCATTCTGCATGCTCTATCCAAGTGTTGGGATACTCCCCGCGCGGCTTCCACGCGCAAAGCCACAATGCTTGAGATTTAGGGGCTGCCGGTGAATTCCCAGGATGAAGCCCATACCGCCCGGCCTAACATGTCCAGCGTAGCCTGACCTAGACGCCGACTCCGACTCCCAAAGGCAAACAGTAGACCCCCGAACCCCAAACAGCTCTATTAGTCTATGGAAGCGCCATTTTTTGCCCTGAAGCCCGAAACCTCCAGAGACAAACCGGGAGTCCTTGCAGGTGATGCTGGCCACGGTTTGCAAGTTCGGGCGTGGGCTTGAGAACAGATCGGAGCCTTAGTCAGATTTCGAGGGCGAACATTGGAGCTCAGAGGAGTGTAGTCGCACAGTGAAATTGCTCGGGGGCAGCAAAAACAAGCATCTGAAGGCATCTGCCCCCGACACGAGAAAAACAGGCGCCAGGGACCCGACAGTTCACAGATTCGTTTGCGCCACAACAGGCCCCTCCCATCCAGAGGCCAAGGCCTCGCAGCAAGAGGAACTGCTGGAGCAGAAGTGCAGAAGTGCTCTTGAGCTCGCTCTTCAGAACTCAACATCACTAACTCTGACCTCATTCCTTCTGCCAAACACTCTCCTTATCTGCCCTTGCTCCCTCTCTTCTCTCTCCTCTCTCCCTCTCTCTCCCTCTCTCTTCCACTCTCTCCCTCGCTGTCTCTCGGGCGCCTCAAAGCGGGGCCGCAGCACACGACGTGGTGACTATCGGGCCTCCCCTTTCGCACTCGGAAGGCAGTCCGGGCTATTCCCGGAAGGCAATCCGATCCAGGAAAACCTCGGGAACAACGGCGCCTCCTCAAAACCCGAACAACTTTCATATGCAAGGCTCTTGGTTAGCTGCTTGTCGAGTTTGGCTGAGGTGAGAGGCGATCCCTTCCCTATTCCCAGCTTGGACCCCTGGCACTTTGTTTGGCTTCGTGGCTAGGGGACCGTTGGGACTGCGGACGGGTGTGTTCACGGTCTCTGGATGTAATGCTGAGATTCGCTGCCGAAGAATGGAAAATTCACAAGCGTGTGTGTAGTATGTGTATGTGTATATATATATATGTGGCACGCAGCTTTTTGTCAACTTTCGTACTTTGATGAAGAATCTCTTAGGATTGTGCCGTCTCGCTCACAGCGGACCTGTTGAGCCAACGAAGGCCGCGAGCGGAAATCATGCGCGACACCCTCAAAGCTGAGAACCCTCCGTTAGATCAATCGCCCTAAACCCTAAACCATAAACCCTAAACCCTAAACCCTAAACCCTGAACCCTGAACCCTGAACCCTAAACCCTAAAGTCAGCCTCAACTCAACATCCCGAAGGCGAAGCGCCGAGGCCCTTCGGGTCCCTCGGTTTAGGAAGCCTAGGGTGCTGTAGGCTACGCAAGGTGAGCGTGCACCTCAGCAGAGATTGACATAGAACCTCATGATATGAGCTCGTCTGTTAAGCACCTCACACCAACATCAACCAAGCATGACAGCAGCGACCCGAACCTAAGACCTAAGAATCGAAAACGGCCTAAGACCTCACACCTCCTCGGCAACGTCTCCTTCTTTCGACTCGCTTGCATTGGCATTGATCTCCGTGGCTGGCCGGGCCCCCTCCTTGGCATTCGCTTCAAAGACATCGGTTCTTCTAAGCGCCAAAGCGGGGTCTGTCGGGATGTCGCCCGAGGCCCGGGCCTCTGACCTTGAGGCCTGGTCTGTGAAGAGGTCGCGGAAGACCAACCAAAGAGAGAAACCCTGAAAGGGGGGGGGGGGGCTGAGGGTGAGGGTGAGTCGGTTCAGCTTGTGTGGGGCCGAGTGGGAACCGTCGTTCTTGCATTGAGTCTTGGGGCTCACTAGGCGAGGATTTCGGCATGCGTGCTGCGTTCTTTGGCAGTCCGGTTGCCCCAACGGAATGCCAGCAGAAGCCCAGCAGAAGCCCAGCATACCTAAAGGGGGCCTTTGTAGCGAAGCCCAAATTCAAAGCCCCTTGGCCCCCATGAGGCACGAGACGTCGCATGCGTGCCCGCGTGAGCGGAACATGTGAGGAGATTTGGGAAAACCCCTTGACTGGTCAAACACCACCTCTGCAGACACCAGCTCGAGCCTTCAGACCTGTCCTTGAGCGAATGTTTTGGGGGGCCTTCCCTCAACTGGTGGATAGCAGACCTCTGGCCAAACTGCCTGGACGGGGTTCAGGACGATGATGTCGCTGTGCTGGAGCGGCCTCCCAACGTCTCCCAACATTCTCTCTAAAATCAGCTCAAGTTTAGCTCAAGCCCTGCAAAAATCCGACCAGTCCATGTGAGCTGGCTCGCGCCTCCGGCCCCCGTGGCTCAGGGGAACGGCAGAGGCAAATTCCTCTGGAACCAGTGTCCTGAAGAGCCAAGGGTGACATCGGAAATGTCCAGTGCCAGCATAGGGAATGTTGTTTGAGCTCAAACTGGCGCCGTAGGGTGGTGAGGGTGTCGGGGTTCTGCTCAAGCGTCAGAGGCTCTGAAAATTTCGCTCTCCGGAAGCACTAATTATTCGGATCCATGAATCCCGGGTGATCTTTCGTTCGGCATCTGATTGACCCAATTACACTTGGAAGCAGCAGCTCCACCAATGCAGAGGTCAGTGCCACTGCTCAACACCCCAGGGCTTCTAAGGTGCATCACTTAGTACGGATCGGATCAATGTCAGAATCAGCATTGGCAATTGGAGTGCTGCTTTCACAACGGAAGCTTGCCGATTGGTTGTGGGGGGGATGTTGATCGAGCTTGTGAAGAAATCGGCTTTCATCTCCTTCAAAAGGCAAGGCCACCCTCACCCTGAACCCTGAGGAAAAAAAAGGAGCAACAAAAACCAAAAAAACGCCCTGAAGAAGTCAACAACTGCCTCCCTACGAAGGCATCAGCTGGAACAAGCACTCCACGAGAACAGCACCCACTGCACCAACACAGCCCTAGACCCCCATCCGCATGCCACACGCAAACAGCAAAATATCCCGACCCATGACCCCACAGTGCTTGCCTGCAAAGGCGGATGGGGTTCGAGGCGCTGAGGTTCCTCACGTAGAAAGCTGCCTCATGGCATGGCAGGGGGGTTGTTGCTTTGCAGGACGTTTCGGGCGCTACGTGGAACGAGGGCTTCTGCGACACTTGCGTACGAGTGCAGAGCGCACGCGTGCAGAGCGCCCCTGGACTTGCTTTTTGGGCTCGGGGACGAGACTCGGACGGCGCCGCAAGTGCCCCGAGGTCGGGGCGCTTCGGCTTGTGAGAGAAATTTCGTCCCCGACCTGGAGTGCCAGGGTGGCGAAGCACTCCACAGTGCGCGCAGGCTTCCATGTTTGATGGGCGCTGCTTCAAACCCTCCTGTCTTTTAAGAAGCTTCCATGTTGATGCCCCGACCCTCTCGCGTCTCGGACTTAGACTCTCCACCCTCCCAGGGCGCGCCTCAATCTGCAAATGCTGGCGCGACAAGGCATAAAGGGCATCTGGGTTCAGCAGGCGCCTCGGCTTCGGGCTCCAAGTTCGAGCTTGGGTCAGTCGAAGTTTTACCAGTAGAGAAGCTAGGTGATAGTTGGGGACTGGGGCGTGTGGGATGCAGGGTAGGCATATCGCGGGCTGTGAATCTTCCGCCATGGGTAGACAATAGGGCTGTACGAAGAAAGGGCTTGGGGACCTTTGAACACCACCCCGAACCGAAAACAGCACGAACACACAGACACACACACACACACACACACACACACACAGAGACAGACAGACAGACACACACACACACACACACACAGACACACAGACACACAGACACACAGACACACAGACACACAGACACACAGACACACAGACACGCAGACACGCAGACACACAGACACGCAGACACACAGACACACAGACACACAGACACACAGACACAGAGACACACAGACACACAGAGACACAGACACAGAGACACAGAGACACAGAGACACAGAGACACAGACACAGACACAGACACAGACACAGACACAGACACACACACACACACACACACACACACAAAAATAAAAATAAAAAATGAAAGCAATTTCGGGCTCAGATGTCATGACTGCCCAGGGTTCACGAGGCCTGGAGGAGTCAGAGTAGGGTTCCTGGGCTGGGTTTTTGGATCTTCGGACCTCCACTGCGAGGCCCCAACTGCCAGTAACTCCGCTGCGGCGACCGCCCAAGCAGCAGTGGCAAGCAGCTGCCGATCTTCCTTCCCTGACCACGAGCGGTTTTGCGCGCTTCAAGGACTGCGGTTTTTTGCGGGCTTCGTTCAAACGCTGAGGGTTTTGGGGCTTAGGACGCGGTAGGTTTTCAACCACGGCCATCTTCCCCCATGAAACGCCAGAGCTGATGAAAACATGTCCTCGGCGGTTAAAGCCTGGGATAAGCTGCCAAGCTTTTGAAGAAGCCAGCGCGTCTGGGTGGCTTCTTTGGCTTCGGTTGGTGCCTTCGCAATCCCCCGCCGACTCCGAGGAACTATCCCTACAAGGGCATGGGCATTCTCAACTGAAGCTCCAACGCCCAAACTTTCAAGTCCGGACTCCGCGCCTGCAGAGCTATAAAGCCTAAGAGTCTTAAGAGCTTCTTGACCCTCTTCCAGCGCACCCCAACATGAAAAGCCCACACCTCGAAACCACCGGCATGCGCCTGCGTGATAGCTGGGCCGTGGATGATGCGCAGATCCTGAGAGCCCAGACCCTGTCCTACCCTACAGGTTTAGGGTTTAGGGTTTAGGGCTTAGGGTTTAGGATGAGCGAGCTTTCAGCATGAGGCTGGTCCTTGGGTTCCCTTAAGAAGTGGGGGGGGCATGCCATAGATCCGAGCCGGATCTACAAAGGACGCTGGACACAACTCCCCCTGAGCTGCCCGCACTCCTTGCTTAAAGGGCACAAAAGAGGCTGAACCTCCTGAAAAGGGTTCAGTCGAACCAAGCTGTCCCTTCTGGGCGCCTTCTTTGGCACGTCGGAGCGCAGACTTTGGCCACCCACCTCCAGCGCGAAGACCGGCCTTGCCGGGAATGCACGAAGGAAAGTGCGAGTCGAGCTCAGGCGCGGGGGGGGGGGGGCATCATAAGGAATCACGTTGCGGAAGCAGACCCAAATCTTGGGGATCAGTTCTTGACATTAGTGTTCCCTTATGGTCACTTTTGGGGGGTCCTTGCTTCGAGGGTGTTGTACCAAACAAGGGACCCGAGTTTAGAGAACTACCCAAATTTACATTGCGGCTGCATTTCTTTTGTGATCTCTCCCCTTACAAGGCTTGGTATGAAGGGACCAGAATCCCTACTACCAAAGGGCGCCCTTTTTGGTTTTAAGGGGATTATAAGGGAACCCCACCCAGAAAAAAAAAGGAAATAAGGGCCTATAGGCTACAAGCCCAGGAGAACATTCCCCCAGACTCTCCCCCAGGCTGAGGCCCGGGACAGGAGCTCTACGCCCAGAAAAGAAATCCCATCCTCCGTCCTGGCGTCTTTTGGGGCTTCATTTCTTCTTTTGGGGCTTTTTGGGGTTTTTGTTGGGGCTTCCTTTGGGGCTTCCTTTGGGTTTTTTTTTCGGGCTCTTTTGGGGCCTTTATTGGCGGGTCAGAGATGCTCGGTGGTGTTTGAAGATGCCATATAAGATCTCTTCATTGGTTCATGAGTTTGCTGCTTGCAGAAGGGGGACGCCGAAGATGGGCCAGCGTGAGGGCCATTTGGCACTTCGGGACACAAGGTGTCAAGGTATCTGCCCAATCAGCTAGCGATTACCGCGGCTGGAAAGCCTCTACCTCCGAAGGGACCCAGAACCAGAAACCCGAAAAAACACCCGAAACCAATGCCTCCAAAGAGGGAGGAATTGCTTCGTGGCTTTTAGCTGTTACGTATCTGATTTTTTTGGGGGGGAGAGGAGGGGGGGGGTTGCAGAGCCGAACCTGAGTCTTAACTTAACATCCTCACCATGCCCCCCCGCCTCCCCCCGCCCCCCCCCCCCATCCAAGAATTCGAGGACCCCGCCGCAGGTCGAGCGGCGCTGTTGGGATTGCGGCCGGTTCCCTGCAGACGGGTCCCCCATATCAGCCCCCACTACCACATATTAACACAACGACACAACAATCTGCCGATCTTCTGGACGTCACCGGCCTGGCATCCGGAGTGTTGGCCTCATCCAAGTCCTGCCCGACTTGGGGGCTGAAGTTGCGACTGCCATCGTGATCCCGACACAGAATCAAGATGCAGAGGTGGGTAGACCTCCCAACTCCTAGAGCAATCCGGGCAAGCACCACGTCCAGCAAAGACCTAGTCTTGAGCCCTTCAGGGCCCTTTGGCTGTCCGTGGTTGAAGTCTTCAGCGGCATAGCCTGAAGAGAGTTGGCCCGAAATGGGGCCGGGGGAGGGCTCGGCGCTCGGGGCTTCGAAAACCCCTCTGAGAGAGAGAGAGAGAGAGAGATGCAAAAAAGGGGTAAAGAATCAACCATCAAAGATGCACACCCTCGGTCTGCTCTCTCCGAAGACCCCCCCAGCATCAATTCCAAAAAAAACAAGTGCTCTTCAAGTGCTCTTCAAGTGCTCTTCAAGTGCTCTCCAAAAGCGGCACACCCACTCGAGCCCGGCGCCCTCAACCTGCCCTCCACTGAACCCCCCCTTGCCTCGCGGGGTGTGGGAGGTGCTGGCTCGGCAGCGGGCAACTGTAGGCAGCTGTTGGGAGGAGTTTAGGGTTTAGGGTTTAGGGTTTAGGGTTTAGGGTTTAGGGTCTAGGGTTTAGGGTTTAGGGTTTAGGGTTTAGGGTTGGGAGGAGTTTGATCTTTTGTGTTGGGAGATCGTGCAATACCGCCTTCGGCCCCTTTGAAAAGAATTGAGTCTGGGCGGGGTTAGAAGATCGTAGGCAGAAGATGTGCAGAGCTCCAGAGAGAAGGCCTCAAGTCTGGGAATGCCCGTAGTCACTACGAATCTTGCAGCTTGGCTTAAAAGTCGCCCCAAACCCTAAACCCTAAACCCTAAACCCTAAACCCTAAAAAACCCTAAACCCTAAACCCTAAACCTCAGCCCCACCACAACCCCGAGGTGGGCCAGCACGGTCTGCAGCGCCGCCGGTGCCATGGAGGAAGGCCGTACTTGGACGTGTCCTTAGAATGGGTTTAGGGTTTGGGGTTTCGGGTTTAGGGTTTAGGGTTTCGGGTTTAGGGTTTAGGGACAAGACTTTGCTGCTTTGCGAGGTGTTTATGGGAAGCTGGCATCAGATATGAGGAGGAGGCCGTCTACTTACTCTTACGCAGCTCCCGAGACCAAAGAATCCCCAAAGAGGGCAACGACAGGGAGATGTCGGGGTGCAACTTGGCCTTTTGCCCCGTGATCGTGCATGTCACCAGGAACAGAGGTTCATGTAGCGACGTCGCAACACTACGGGGCCCAAGGGCTTTCTGAAGCGATGCCTTCTAGACTTACGAGGCGCAGCTCCCCCCCTAGTCCCAGCAGCCTCCCCCAATCCCCTAAACCCTAAACCCTAAACCGTAGAACCCTAAACCCTAAACCCTAAACCCTAAACCCAGGCGCCTTGCAGTCCCCCCTGACTCCCCGAAACTTCAATTGGCCCAGCGGCGTGAGGGCAGAAGCCACGGGCCGAGACCCTGCAGGTTTCCAGGCGTCGGGAAGTCGGGCTTGGGAGGAATTGGCACCTCAAGCCATCGAAATCCTGCCCCCCGCCCCAGCTCCAACCTCAATGTCTGAATGTCCAGAAAGCTGTGCAAAACTCTGTAAGCTTGAGCCTCGACGCTCTTGCCTAGATGCCTCAACCAAACCAAAAAAAAACTAAACTGCGCCTTCAGAAGGGAACCGCTCAGGTCGAAGCGAAACCTGCTCGAGGAGCTTTGGTGGGGTCTTAGGGCCTTAGGGGTTTTGCGGATCTTCGGGGTGCACATGCGTTTGTTGTCCCCCAGATCTCTGGGCTTGCAGTGGTCTTATTGCTGTGGGGGGAGGGGGGGAATTGTAAACTCCGGAAGCCTGAATTCCCAAGATTTCTAGCAGATTCCTTCAGGAATGACGGCCCAGACCCACATCCAAAGCCGGTTGAATAAAATCGATACTTTTGCTTAATCTCCTCACCCCGACCCCTGCACCCCGAACACAGAGTCCCCTGCCACGTCCCAAAAACTGTCCATGCAGGTTGTTAGGTGCAGGTGCCAGAAGCTCACCCTCCCAAGTTGTCCTTGCGCACACTCCAACACAAACCTGAAGCCATCAGGACGAACAAAGACGACTCGAACTTGCTAGCTATATACATATTGTCTACGTCCCTTTGTACTGAAATGCCCCGAACACCTCGCAGGTTCCCCCCGCCCCCCCCCAATGTATCGAGGGGCTCCATCAGCGGTGACGAGGAAGTGCTGCCAGGGCCTAGGAAAGGGCTAAGGCGGCTAGGGGTTTTAGGATTGCGGTGCTAAATTCCTAAGTTCGGCATGATCGCGTCGCCATCGTCATCGTCATCATTGTCACGTTCATCGAAGTATCTGAGTTTCCAATATTGAAGGAAAAAGCACTTGATAGCACTTTGCAGCTCCATAGCAGATCTACAAGACAACAATATTCGCCTCGGCCGAGAGGCGTCTAGAACAAGCAGACCAAGATTTGGTCTCCTTCCCCCTAACCCAACCCTTCTCCCCATACTCGCATTTGTGATGCACACCCCCCCCCCCCCCACCCCGGGCATTCCCAATCGCTTGGAGGAGCTACAAACCGATGCCGGGGGATTCCCGCCTGTCGGCCTTTTTGAAGACCTTTGACACCTCAAACCACTCGGCCTTTGAAACCCCTGGCGCCTCGCCCACCTCGAGCCTCAAGCATTTTGGGATTTCATTGGGTTTAAAAAATTTGGCATAGACCTGAATTGAAAGGATCTTGGAATTTCCTGGGCCTTAGGACGTTGGTCGGCCCGGCTGCCAAGGCGGCGCGTGCAAGCACTATCCCCAACAGACCTGCCTAGAGATGCATGCGCCAGCCAGTTCAGCTGGACTCACGAGATTCCTGTTCAAAACAAGATGTGTGTGTGTGTGTGTGATCTTTGGTCCTTGGTCCTGAATTAATAATCACCCCCGACAAGCTCGGAGACGAAACTTCGAAACTTCACGCCACTGTGAATCGCAATAAGGCACCTGCAACCTATTTCCTTATCCCGTGGCGACGGGCCGTCACCCTCAGCGTGGGGATTTTGCTCTGTCTCGTTACACATCTCCTGGGATGCAGGGCAGTTGTGCCCCGAGGTGCCCCCGATGGCGTCTGTCTTCTGAGCCGCTGTTTTTTGAGGAATATAACAGGGGCCTAAGCCCGATGGCCCCAAGAACCCAAACCCCCCCCCCCCCACCCCCCCCTTTTAGGGGCAGATGCAAGGCAAGGCACGCAGCAGCGCGATCCGGTCGCCGTCGGCGAGCGGAACCTCGGAGAGCACTCCCCGCACGAAGAAGGAAGAGGGAAAATGGGGATAAAGGGGAAGAGGCTCGGAGAGGGGAGAAGCTTCTGGAGGGTCAGAAGGTGCTACTGAAGCCCAAAATCTGTCGCGGCTCTCAGCAAAACATGTGCTCCCCAACTGCAAGAGCCCGGAGATCGCCACTAGGCCCGACAAATATCTACTGCACATGTCCAAAGAGACTCATCCGGCTTACCCCTACGTCGCTGCATGGACAAAAGCCCAAACTACCCCGAAACCCCAAACTCCGCGAGTTCGGGGGGGTTGACCTGCTGAGACAGTTCGACTCGGTCTCCAAGCCTGCTCGCCCCCGACGGACAGCAGCCGGTCGTTCACCCTGGTGCCGTTGGAGCTGAAGTTCCTCTGAAGAAGAGCGCGGTGACTTGGGCTTTGTGTCGCCGGGGGGATGGCAGATTTTGGACCAGGGATGGAGTGTAGAACTTGGGAGATACTGCATTGAACGGCTTGGGTATGGGACGCCGGGGTGGGCATCGTCCACTCAGCCATGCTGCTTGTTTCTTCGCAGGTGCGGAGTGAAGCTGGCCTCTTTGACGATGTGCCATTGAAAAATAGTACACTGACGCTGAAACTCCAAGCTGCCGGGCCACACATGAAACATGTACATCCAACACGCACGCCAGAAACAGCCCGGGTATGGAATGGTTTTATAAAGTAGCAACAGAAGCTAAGATTGCCAAGAAGCTGAAGCCCCTCAAGAGAATCAAGCCCTTCTGAAGCCTAAGCCCTCATAGCTGTAGAGCCCTGAAAACAAAGAAGTCCTGAGCTGACCCAATAACCCAAAAGCCCACGGGCTCTCTAAGCTCCAGGCGTCAGGAAGAAGGAGCACGAGGTCCGCTGCCGCAGATCTGGGCGGAGAGAAAGCGCAGCAAAAAAAAAAACAGAGGAACTTGATGCACGTGGCAGCTTTGAGCCTTTGCAAACTGCACAGAGGTGGCGGCATGGGGGATGCTAAACGCATAGTCGTTGCCTACGAGTACTTGCTGTGCCTACAAGTAAATGCCCGGATCTGCAAGCAACACCAACACCAAAAACGTCCGAACGGCAGCACGCCAGCCCCAAAGCCCCCTAAATCTGCACGCCCGCTTTTGGGAGAACCTTTGGGTGCGCGAAGGGAAGACCTTCGCGCCCGTGACTCTCATGCCAATCGCATCTGTACAAAAACCCAAAGACGCTTCTTCGCCAGCCCCAGGACCTCTCCAGCACCGTGTAGTTTTCCGGCTCATGAATTCCGGGATAAAGTTGAGAACGGGAAAGGGGCAAAGGCGGGCGTGGGGCCGTGGAGGGGGTGAGAGGCAGGCGGAAGGGGGGACCACCAACCCCATCGCTGCCGTAGCTGTCGTGTAGCTCCCTCCGAGGCTGTGGCCAGCGTCCGAACCACTGGCGCCCTGTTTAGGGTTTGGGGTTTAGGGTTTGGGGTTTAGGGTTGAGGGTTTGCAGCCATCACTCCTCATGCGATGGGCTGCAAATTTTGGGCTTTCGGGGGTGGGGGGGCACTTCGAGATCTTGGGGAGTCTTGCGGCCTTCGGGCCGCGGGCTCGCTTGAGCGTTGATCAGCTGCAGATCATGCGTGAGTTTGGAGATGACCCGTAACAGGTGATGTCGGGAAACATTTGACTTTATCCGGAAAACTTTGAGCGGCCCCCGCAGCTGCCTGAAGTGTCAAGCCTGGGGTACCTGAGCACCTGCCCTTCGAGGTGGGGATTCAGGCGACTGCCAAGGTTGCTGAGGACGACTTCGCAACTAGGAAGCTTCTAAACCTTCTAAACCTGACAGACAACTCTCTAACGCTTAAAGGACATGGGCGGGACACAAACCTCTAAGACCCCAGGCCCACCCTCAAGCCCTGCGCCTTTCACCGAGCAAAACGAAGCCCGAACACCTGAAACCTTCAATCCTAGAACCCCAGCCTCCACAATCGACAAGCTCCTGTCTAGGACGGAGCCCTCAGAAACATCGAGGGAACCCTTTGCCCGGGGTTCCACGCCACTGCCCAGATCTGGAATTGCTCGCGGTCTACAAGCGCAGCATCCTTCCGGAGGCAGACCGGGGATGTGTGGAGAGAAGCCTCCCAACTACGGGTGTGAAATTTGAAGGACTCATCCGAAAGCCGGCATCGCAGGAAAGCCTCACCTCACCACCACGAGCTCTTCATAAAGTTGAAACCAACGCAAGGACGCGCGAATCTCAGCAACGCTGAACCGGGAGAGATGGCACCGGCCTCCTCACCGAGCAGTGCTTCGAAGAAGTCCTGTGGCTCTGCTGAACCAGGATTTTGGGTTTGCGGTTGACTTAGTTTACTTATTGCGACGTTGCGGTGAAGCCCCCCGAGTCAAGTCAGAATTGGCGAGCCCGGAACCTGGTGGCCACAAAAAAACCAAGCCTTCTGAAAAAGCTGGCCGATCCGCTGCGTGGCAGGCAACTCGCAGCCGGCCTGCTTCAGAGCGACAGCAGATGAAAGCTCTCCCTATCAGACCATGTTCATTCAATCTCTTGCTGTCTTGCGCTGCGACGTCCTGTATCTCTGTTGCTACGCTGCCCTGCATTGAGCAAGGAGCTGAGAGGAAACGTTATACGGCTTCGTCTCTATGATGCGGGCCCTCCATGCTTCTGAGGGTTTGCTCCGGCTGTTTTGTTGAGGATCAGCTGGGACAATGACCCTGCATTACAGCAGATTCCTGATGCTGCGGATCCCCAAGACTGCTTTGCGGATAGAATACAGGGGCCTTAAAAATTAGAACAGGGTTTTGGGGGGTCAGTTTTTAGTAGGGGTTCCTGTGCAAGAACCAGCGCTGCACGGAGCCTCCCATTGATGCAGCAGGCTCCGCTGTGCCACTGCAGCCTGCAGAGGCAGGGCACGCTCAGTGTGCGACCGTAGTGTGGCTACAAGGCACCTGTAGGACCGTAGCGGGAAGGGGGGGAAGGGGGGGGGGAAGAGGGGAAGGGGGGGAAGAGGGGGAAGAATCTCCAGGGAGCCCTGCTGTGCCTCACAGGAGGTGCAGCGCAGCGTCCAGAGAAGCTGCGTGGGGGCGCCCGGCGGGCCTCCCGCCAGCAGGGTTTGCAGTTTTCCGGTGTAGGGTTCAGGGTTTAGGGTTTAGGGTTTAGGGTTTAGGCTTTAGGCTTTAGGCTTTAGGCTTTAGGCTTTAGGGTTTAGGGGCCCACGAGAGGCTTCAGCAAACTCCATCAGAAACCCGATTGCTGGCCTGGCGTGGGGTCGAGCCCCTCTGTAACAATCGGGCACGGTGGCGAGGGCAGAGAATGACTTTGCCTTGCTACAGAAAAGAGCTTGGACGCGTGCAGGACGTGTCAGGGGCTTCAGGGCTTAGTTGCCAGGCATGGCGCACTAACGTTTCGAATCTTGACTCCTCGGGCAGGCGTCGCGAGTCGGGATTTGAGCTGAGGGGCCTGCAGGGAACTGAGTTTTTTGGAGTCAAGTTTCGAGTTTCGGGGGCCACCCTTCCTGGACCTGCTGGACAGCCAAGCCACTGTGCGTCTGCCACGCCCCGATGGTTCCTCCTTGGCTGAGGCTGTATCCAGCCAAGAGCCAAGCTGGTCCACTGCCATGCACTTCATGGGCATCTACAGTGTGTGTATACATATACATACATATACATATACATATACATATACATATACATACATATACATACACATACACATACACATACACATACACATACACATACACATACACATACACATACACATACACATACACATATACATATACATATACATATACATATACATATACATACATATACACACAGGCCAGCAGAGGTTCAAAGGTGTCGGCGGTGGTGAGAGTGTAGCATTTGACGCCTTGTCAGCAACACGCCAAACAGGACTTTGCTTGTGAACTCCAGTCGCCAAACCCACCTCAAACCTGCTGGTCGGGTCAATTCACCTTTTGCATAAGCGCCGCGCTGTGGAACATGCAAAAAAGCCCTGTACCAGCAAATGAGACGCGGGCTCTCTGCGACGGGACCTTGATCGCACGGCGGAGGGGTCTAGGACGAAGAGGTTTTTCGTTCGCAGGTTTGGAATTCTGCAAATGTGCTGAAGCTCAATGATTGTGGTTCTGGGGTCTCCACAAGATACTACAGTCTCGGCAAATTTCAGAACTCTCAACCTGACACCTTCCCAAACCCGTCTTCACCTGTAGCTGGTGTGTTGCCACGCCACGGAGGGCACTTGGGTTTCGGATGGCGGCGTCGAGTACAGCGTCGCCCGCTGCGATTCCTTGGTGGTCAAAGAGTTGAGGTCTCAAGCCTTGCATTTGAGGGCTTTGTAGGATCTTGAGGGTTGTTTGCTGAGTACGTCACATGGCAGGGGTTCATGAAAATCAAATGCCGGAAGCTGGAAACCCCTCAGTCCCTGAGAACAAGCCCTTCGCCTATATCTCAGCTTGGCGTCTGTCCGGGCGGCCGACGCGGTGGAAGACGCGGCGGCCGCAGCTGCCGTGGCTGGCGCACCAGGTCGCACGAGGGGTGCAACCGGTGCGACCCCCGGCCCGGTTTGGCTGAGGAGGTGGGTCTGAGCGCTGGAAAAGGGACCAACATCGGGGCTCTACTACGCTGTGTTACAGAACACCCACTTTACGAGAGAAGTGATGAGAACTAGCAGCAATGAGGGTGCTCGGAGCTTCGAAGGCTCCTATAATGAAGGCGTTAACAAAGAGTGAAGGCGCCTTGAGGTCAACGCGTGTCACGTGACCCACGGACACCGGACACGACGAGTCAGCCTCTTGTCCGACTGGTTGGGTCAGCACATCAGCCACAGAAGTGTCGATCAGCCTCTCAAGCCTGAATAATCTTAACATCGCAGCTGGAGTGCTTCAACCGGCGCATGACTCACTGGCAGCTGCGGCAGCTGCTTGGGCAGGGCGGGCGTCCTTATTTTCTCAGAGGATGATACGGCAGGCGGACTTGGGCGAGTTCACAGCAGAATGCAGTACCTTGAGTCTGCTGTCACTCTATTCCTCCTGCACACTTTAGAGGCCTCTTTCAATGATGAACCTAATGAGAAACGTGCCCTGGGATTGATGTTCCCAAGCAAGCCTTACGCATCTGTTCCTGCCAACCAGCAGGGCCAACCCCTCGAAGTACTTTTATCAAGAGTGCAACCCTCCCGTAGCCTCGACTCCTCACTCACAGCAGGCTGCACTTGGACGCTATTGACTTGAGGATCAAGGCTCCCACTTAAGGCTTTTGAGACAGCTTACAGCGACGACGGTGCTTGTCGACATCTGCATCTAAAGGTTGCCCCAAACCAAACAAATACACCTTCAAACCGGTCTCCAGCTCCCGCAAAAAAAAAGTCCGGGACTGTTGAGAGGAAGCACTTGGGGGCTTAAGAAAAGAAGGGCCCCTCATATAGTCCCCCAAGTAGTAGGATTCCCTTATAACAAGGACCCCCACAAGGTACCCCTGATTTCGTTTTCGTAAACCCCCATTTCTTTTGGCTGTGCAGCCGAGCATCATTTGGGTTGGCTTGGGGTGCTCGGGGTCTTTGATCACAGTGTGTGGCTGTTGGCAGTGTGTTCGTACCGGGGTGTTTTCCGCGAAAGGCCCAGGCATTGGGGCCTTGGGTTGTTGCGGCGACGTATGGCGAACCAAATGGTTGCCTCAGCTGCAAGGAACAAGCACCCTTGTTCGCATGGCAGTTCGCATGTCACAAACTAAACAGTACTGGCCGCCGGGCCTCGCGTAATTTTAAAAGCTGCCTCAGCCACGACCGAGGCACGCCCCCTGCAAAGAAAGACTCAAAGCCTCCGTACAAACCGGAGAGTTCCCGAAGCCCTATAGGCCCTAGACCACACCCCTTCAGCCGAACAATCCGATCGTAGAGGTGCGCAATTCGAATGGTCGTGGAGCCGGGCGGCATGGCCGTGGGGAGGTGGCTCTGTCCATTTGGAAGGTGGGCTCCGCGCACGGCGAAGGATGATGCAGCCGCATCTACGGAGGGGCTTTTCAGGCATGTGTTTGGAAGATTGAGGGTTCATCCCTTCCCGTCCTCGGATACCTGTGAAACCCTCAACCCTTCAACTCAAGCCGAAACAGCTTAAACTTTTTGAAATCCGGGACTCGGATTGCCTTGCTCCTCAAGGTCCACACACACCCCGCCCCAAAAGAGCCTGCTGGTGCGACGGGGTGCGGCCCAAGACCTGCGTCTGCTGCTGTGAGCCATGTCGGGCTCGTTCAGGCTCTTGGGGAATGCTTGGGAATGCTTGGGTACCTGCGAACATCTTGTCCCCCCCTACGACACGGGTGGAGTAAGCAACATTCACCGTTCCAGGGATTCTGTCGGATGGGAGCGGCCGGTCTCGAGAGATGTTCTGGTGAGGGGCTGTTTGTCATGTCAGTATTTTCATACAGTGTGGCACTCAACTCTAACCTTGCCATCTCAGGAAGATTGTCATTCTTCGTCGCATTGGGTCACGGGTCAGGCTTACGAAGGGCCCCTTTTTGGAACTGATGTCACAAAAGGAGCAACTGTGTGAATCTAAACCGACGAGAGGGGTGGAGGGGTGGGGGGGGTGGGCTGCCAAGGGGCGCATTGCTGCGGCGAATGACTATCGGCAGCTGGATGCTCCTAGGCTCAAGGATTTTAGGGCTTCGGGACCTCGTGGATCTTGCAGGTCTCCCCAAGCTTTCAGTCCCCCCAGAGAAGTGAAGTCGGGCACAAGAGAGAAGCTTGCTATTTACCACCTCCCCTCCCCCTGCTACTTGCCCTACCCTACCATACTCCCCCAACCAATCCAGGGGACGGAAGGCGGCTGCTGCGGCGGCTGCTGCGGCGGCTGCTGGGGCGGCTGCTGGGGCTGTACCCGAATTGGCTGTGGTGGCGAGGCGTGGCGAATGGGTGGTGGCTGAGCCTTCGCTAGAATTTCCCTCCGATGCGAATAAGGCCCTCCCGAGTCGAGTGCCACATTCACACATCTTCAAAGGCCCTCAGCAGCTAGGCTCTCCGGGGAGTCAATTGGGCAATACCCCCAGACCCGGCTGCACACTGGCTAAGGGAATATGGGAGATGGGGACTGAGAGTTGGGGGGAAGCCCTCTGCACGTTGCGTTGTTAGGGGAGCTCTCTGGACAAAAGCTTCGCCACAATCAGCTTGTTTCAGGTCTGTTCCTAGGCCTAGATTTAGGGCCCATTCTCGCGGTAGATGCACAACGTGACACTTTCAAAATCTTCCAACCCCAAGTTTAATCCATTTCAGCCCCGAGAGCCACGACGATGCCAAAAAACACCAACCTCGGCAACGCCCTATAAGCTCACGGAATCTCACGGATATCAGCGTGGAAGAGGCCAGCCCTGAGGGAGTCCCAGCCAGGGAGCGCCGAGCCGTGGCGAGAAGTGCTCGGGCCGCGCGTTGGGCGGCGACGCGCGCCCCGGCGCGCGCACGGCGTGGACGCCGTGCGAGGCCCTCAGGGGTTTAAGTGCTCAATGAGGGCCACAGGCTGGAGCCATATCAGCAGCCTGTAAACACCTCCTGGAGATGCACCCTCAGCGCCACAGCAGCACAAACATTGAACCCAACAAGCTTCACGCAAAAACACCTCAAGTCGGGAAATGCAAAACAAAGCCCCGCTGGTTGAGCCACGCTGCGGCACGAATTGGACCTGTCCCCCTGGGACACCGTGGGCAACGACGCGGCCGTTCGGCGGCGCCGTGCCTCCTGCGCAAGGGTTCGCCCCGCTGTGATTCCGATACTGGACGCTTCTCAAGCTCCTTGGTGCATTGTTGCTCCTACTGCATGCTAGAAACAGCACATCACCCGATGGCTTTCGTTCTGCAGATGTATTAAAGCTTCTCGAGCTGTGCCGGCTGATGATGTATGCTTCTCGGGCTGTTGTTGCCAAGTCCTGAACGGGATCCTACATGATCCTACCCAATCCATTCCGTCTCGTGCTGGGCTTCTCAGCTTTTGACATGAGTTCCGCAACACCGTGTAATGCACGGGCTTCTTAGGATCGCGCTCTAGCTTCTGATGAAACGGCAACTGAGTTGATCCACACAATTCGAGAGAGTACTTGGTACTTAGTAGTTATTCAAGCTGCATTTCGGAGACTGAGGCTGCGGTGAACAGGCTGTACGTGAAGCCCATTCCTGTGGCTCCTAGTCACAGGAGAGGTCCATGAGCCCACATCCAACAAAACACCCTGAGCGTCCTAGCTGAGAAACGGCTGGTGAGAACCTGGTTTGGGGGGCTTTGGGCAGTCTGCAGGTTTTTGGGCTTCAAGCTCAAAAGCTCCAATGCGCATGCTCTTGATATAGCAATAAGCCCAGCACGGTATCCCCAACAGCAAGGGCGGAATCGCGCGCTTTCAAGAGAATGTGTGCAATGAGACACTGTGGAAGGAAGAAAGGCGTAACATATCTCGGGTGGTTGTACCAGCCGAGGTGAGGTGCTGCTCTGGCTACGAACGGCCCTGGACCTGACACAGCAAGGCCACACGGCAGTGACCTGGGGCCTCTCAACATTACCTTCCCTCAGCCAATCGCAAATTTCTCGAACCTGAAGCCCCTCCGTTGCTTGCTGGCCGCGACTTTGCGGGAGGCAAGGCTGCAGAAGACTTGCGAAGGGCCAAGGGCCTCGGTGTTTTGATTTGCGTTTGAGATTTGCAGGTTTGATGGCCCTTGAGGGCCCCTTGAGGGATGATCCAACAAATAACTTTTCTTTGCGATGCCAACGGTCAGCGAGCGCACACTCAAGAGCGCACTCTTGAGTGTGGGCCGCTTTCGAGAAACAGCACCAAGAAAGCCTCTCTCTCCGTGCCGGGTCGCGGAGAGGCAGCACCCGTCCTCGGCGAGCGCACGCCGGCCACAGGTGGGGAGCCTTCGTGGGAACGGGGTTCGGAGGTCTTGGTGGTGTTTGCGGGTTCTGGCGTTTTGTGGGTAGGAAAGCCCAGAGCGCTAAACAATAGGTCTTCGGCGTAAGGCCCAGCTTACTCTCCACCCCTTCAACGCAAACAAACCAAACCCTAGAACAGCTCCGATCGTCCCGGAGCCCAGCACGTTCCCGTGTCTTATTATCGTACGCGTGCATGCCTGCTCGCTGCAGCGGCCCGGGTGACTTCGCCGACCGGTACACCATCTGCGGCTGCGGCGGGCCGCCTGAGCCCAGACGTCCGAAAGCAACATCTCGCATTTGGCGAACACGGACGGACGTCCAAAAGCAACGACAGGTTTGGGTCAGTTGGCGAACACAGAAGCCAAAAGGATGGTCCAGGCCGCGGGCGCCGGTGGCCCCCCCCCCCTTGCCCTACAAGTTGGAACCCCGAATATTTAGTGTTCAACTCACTGCTTTGGGGAAAATACACCTACACAGACATGCCCCAAAGCTTTGACGGTGACAACCAAAGATCCTGCACCCTCCTCAGGACCAAAACCCTGTCCGGAGTCGTCTGTGGTCCGCAGCTACTTTGCTCGCAGAGTCCCAAGACACGTTCGCGGCCAGCTATGGCTCTAGCCCGATGACCACCCCGCTCACAGCAGCCCGTGCAACTCCTAAATGTAGCAGCCCTGTGCGCGGGGGATCGCCAGACAAGCCCAACCCAAAAAACTAAAGCCTAAACCGCCTAAACCCTTGAAATTCCAAAGCAATAACCTGCCAATAACCCAAAAAACTAAAGCCGAAACCCTCCAACCCCCGCAATAACCACGAACTCGAGGAAGGCCCTCCTTGTTGCTGAGGTGTCGACCCGGCATTCCAGAGACGAACTGCCAGGCCAAGGCGAAGTTGGGGGACTTGCACGGCGCCTGTAGGGCTGCTCGAACTACATCTTGGCTTCAAGAGTTCTGGGTTTAGGTTTAGGGGTTTCGGGTTTGAAGGGTATAGCGTTTCGGGTTTCGGGCTCAGGGCGGCTTCAAGAGTTTAGGATCCGGATGCAGGATCGGATGCCTCAAAAGATGGGGCCCTATGCTCATGTGAGAAAGCCCCCAATGAGAAAAGGCCCACTTGCCCATTGTGCCAAGAAGCTTGAGGCTGTCCTACACCCTAAACCCTAAACCCTATAAACCCTACAGTAGAGCCTAAATGCAGCTCTCCATGGTGCAGAAACTGCGCCGAAATCCTCCCCACCTGGCCCCGACCCGGAGGTGCCACTGCCGAGGAGGGGGCGCTGTAGCCTCGTTCGTTTCGGGATCATGATTTGAAATTTTAGGGCGGGTTGAGAGGTGCGGCGTGAGGGCGGCATTCTTCACAAAGGACACTTTGATCGGCATGAAGCCAGTGAGGCTTACGGAAGCGTGACTCCGATCATCCTGAGCTGAGACCCGCAACACGAATCCCTGAACTTGCCACTGATGCCAAGGCGCCGGAATTCTCCATGCCGGCTTTCGCCGGCCCCTGGCAACGCCCGTCAAAGATCCAAAAAGCCATCAATTCGGCTACTACTGGGGGGACTGCATTTCTCCCGTCCACTTCCAGTGTAGCCGAGGAGGGCTGCAGTAGGGCTGCAGTAGGGTTTCGATGCATCCCGGCGGGCCACGTCCTGAACATGGCCTTTGTAACCTTGATTGGGCGGCTATGAAAACCCGCCTGACCGAAACCAAAGATGCGACAGGTTTCCGCGTTTGCTAGGTCTCCCCGGCCTGCACGCTCATGGCTCAGCCCTGCCTCGGTCCTCCGCGTGCCTTTGGTCGAGGCGAGTTGCTTCGAGGTTCTCTTTTTTTGGGGGGGAGGGGGGGGGTGGGGGGGGGGGGAGGGGGGGGGGTGGGGAGGGGGGGGGGTTCCAGCTAAGGCTTTAGGGCATCTTTTTGCTCCGGAGCACGAGGATACTGCTTGCCGGTGCGACTTGGGCGCAAGACATAAAAGTCAGAAACACCAGAGCATGCATTAACTGAGAGTCTATCCACCTTCGGCATGAACAAAGGTCTGTGTCCCTGCAAACAGCTCCGATCGCCATCGCTCTCTTTTTTGCACACGCAGCCCCGAGGCGAAGCGGCGAAGCCGCCTGACTCAGCCCTGACGGATCATCTCAAGGGGGCCGCGGAGGCCTTGAGGCTTTCTCGTCTTTCCGGATTCGCAAATCCCTCAACAGCCGAAAGCAACAACATGTCCTTCGACGTCCTGCTCGCAAACACCTCAATAGCGCTCTCTGCTGCGCTCCAATCAGCGCTGCTCTGGCGCTGCTCTACTTGAACCCGACATCCCGAGAAGGCCCACGACTCTACTTCTTGCAACAGGCCAGGTCAGAAAGAGGAGAGTCGCGACCTTCACAGCAAACGCGGGTTTTCTCCGTGGTCTCCTGCTCCTTTTTTGGGCCAAAAGTGTTTGGGTCTTCATCCTTTGGGATGCTGGGGGAGGCTGTGGGCGAAGCTCCCAATTGGAGAGAGCAACAAGAAGCAAGCGCACAACCCTGACCCCCTCCCTTGAACGTTTTATACAGTGCTGCGTGAAGATCTTGCAGTGGCCTTCTTATCCTTCTTGAAGCGCCTTAGCGTCTAAGGGGGTTCCTTTTGGGATCTGAGGCTCCGTCCCACGCACTTGGCCTTGTTCCCATCCCAGGCGCACCTTGAAAGCAGATGGCTTCAAACCGAAGGTGGCCGAAAAGGTCTACGTATCCCTCGTATCCCCTCTGCCCACAGCCAACATTGCAGGGCTGGGCTCGGCTTCGAGCCGACACCCCTTCCCCCCTCCCCAAAAGAAACACAGTGTTGAACTCAAACATTTAGACACCAGTCCAAACGAAGATTCAATCTTTCTGGGGCATCCCAAACCCATCCAGACCGCGGGGAAGGCCGGGGCACGCCACAACGATGGCGCGATCACCGGGTTCGCCAACCAGATGTTTTTCCTGAGGGCGAAGTTGCGTGAAAGGTTCGAAGACGACTTCGGATGTTCAGGTAGAGTTGCGCAAACGGGGCCTTCTTGGGAGAGATGTACTTCAAGGCGCCTTTGGTTGAACGCCCTGCGCGAAGTGAAAGCGATGGAGGCGCATCTCTGGATGCGAAAGTGCTTGGGCACAAAACGAGGAGCAAGGTGACAGGGCGTGCCGGCATCTGTTTCTCAACCAAACAAAACATGACTCGCAGAATCTTTCGAAACCGTGATGACTTCACAGATCTCTGCAGGAAAGAGACTACCAGCACCCCCCAACTACCCTCTAACCATAACATAGTAGGGGTATATAAGTCCCCTTGATTACAGGGTAGTTGGGGGATTCTGGCAGAAAAGGAGTTTTGAAAACGCTTCCAAAGCTCATAGGACCGGCCGCAGCCAGCAGCGCGTGTCTGTGTAGCGCAGGCAGACACTTTCTGCGGCTTCTTCTCCTGGGGTGCAACACCCAAACCCTGGGAGCTCTGAAGTTGTAGGTAGGCTAGTATAGGGGCCTGAAGAATTGGAATAGGTTTTTTGGGGGGTTCTTATAGTATATTGCAAAGGGACCCTAAGGGAATATGATTAGTATGCAGTCCGACCTCTAGACTATACCACTCTCTGAGGTCCTTCAAGTACCGGCGATCGCACAGCTCGGCATCGCCTGCTGACAGCCGAGGGGTTCTCAGGACGGGTTGTCAAAGCTTCCTACTCCGAGATCGGCAGAACCCAAAAGCCCGAAGGGAAAGGCGTGGCTCCTGCAAAAAGCAGTGAGAAGGCAACGAGTCAACGCAACCACTCCCCAAAGAAGATCATCCCAAACCTGTGATTAGTAGTAGCAAGCGCTTTCCCCACCCAACCCCTCCCGCGAAAACCGCCGACCTGTCGAGTAGCAGCAGAACGCGGACCCGCGGTCTAAGCAGCGCTCGCCACTGGCAGCGCAAACCTGGAGTCGAGAAGCCTATGTCACGGGCATGTCGGGGCTTTGCGCTCCCAAACTTGACCAAATGTTAGTTTGGCTTGAACCCCAGAAAGGCTCTCAGAATCTGATTGCGGGAACACGCGGGAGCTGACAAACCTTGGCCGTGGCCTTCCACCCAGACTGAAGATCCCATCCTCCTGAACCCAGCAGAGGTGTCACAGACGAACTCGACCATGCGGCCGACTTCACGCCGTTGGTGATGACGAAGCTATTGGAGCAGTTCCTCTTGGGAGGCTGCGTTGAGGCTTTGGGGGGCTGGCTTCAGGGTTGTGCGGATTTCTGGCCACGCAGTTCACATTAGACTGGGTTCGGTTCTGGAGTACTTCGGGGGCACTGGGCCCACAACACTCGACATTTCTGGGGGGGGTTGTACACAATCTCCTATTGGTGCTCCTCAGCTCTTAGCTCCTGCCTTTTCAGGCCTAAGGCCCTGTGAGGGTGCCCCCGGACGCCGAAGGCACGAATGGGCAGCCGGGGTGCAAGACGTCGAGGCCTCCGCAGTCTGAGACTTCCTGCACAGCTGCCACCTGCACGGCAACAGAGCGATCTGTGTAGAAGTGCGCGCATTTGGTGCAAGATTCAAAAAAACCAAAGAAGTGACAATGAAGGGCCGCTCAGATCCCTTAAGTGCACCCTTCTCACATTAACCATGTGCCAGCTTTGCAGCTTTGCAGAGTCGGACTTTAAAAAAAAATGCCAAGACAGCAGCTTCGCCCCCACCTAGACCCTAAACCCTAAAACCCTAAAACCCTAAAACCCTAAAACCCTAAAACCCTAAAAACCCTAAAAACCCTACAAACCCTAAAAACCCTCAAAACCCTATAAATTCTATAAGCCCTATAAACCCGGAAAGAACCTTCTCAGAGGGTGCCTTGGCCGCAGAGCAGTTCGGGAACAGGGCCCCGCCCGTCCTTTTGTTGCAGGCTTTTTGGAAGGGCCGTGGGCTTGGGAGCGGTGGGGTTTTTGGGGTTTCTACAGGGCATTTAGGTATGTTGGGTTTCTCGGATTTCTAGGGTTTCTAGTGGGGAGGGCTTAAGGTGGGGGAATTGGGCAGATTTTGGGCCTCCGCCCTGCAAGGCTCACACCCCCAAGAACTCATCTGGACTTCTGCCCTCCTCAAAAGCCCACGCCTCTGACATTCTAACTTAAAACGAGGTTAGGACTCACGGCTCAGGGTTCAGGTCCACGTTCCCGACACCACACCGCCTCCCACACTGCTGACAAGAGTCTCCTCTACCTGGTGAAGGTCCACCTGGCTCACGGGAGAAAGAGGCCTTAGGCCTTGGGGGTTTTTTGGGCTGCGGGGGTTTCATAAGAGGCCTGAGACCCGAAAAGCAACATCCCGCCTGAGCTCAGAAGGCACGCTTAAAACGGGAAATCGCGCGCTTCATCGCGCACTGGCACTGTAAGGGCCCCGCACGGCCAAGAAAACCTCAGCAATTCTCCCTGCAAAAGGACGTTAAGCCCTAAACCCGACGAAAGGGAGCACCTTCTTGAGACGATCCAAACAGAAACGCCTCGCGGAGGGCCGCAGCACCATCATCTCCCACCGTCGCGGTGACCAGGGCCTCTGGACGAACGGGGCTGAAATTCAAAAGGCATATGATTATTTCTGTATTGCTATATGTATGTATATATAATATATACATATATAGAACGTATCCACCAACCCCCGCCCAGCGGGGCGGTGCTAAGACGCACTTGCGTCCCTCATCCCCTACCTCTCTACCCCCCTCTCTACCTCTCTATACATTGCCCCAGCGAGATTTACCCCTACCCCCGCGCCGCCGGTGGTCCAGGGCGGACCCGACTAGCCAGGCACCGGCCCCACATTCAGGATTCGCGGGTTTTCACTCGGGCGTGCACCACGCCGGTACCGGAAGCCCAAACCGGGCACCGTGAGCACCAGCTGCAGATCCAGAGTCTAGGGTGTTTCGTTGGGCTTCTTAACGAACACCAGGACACAGCGCATGATTCAGCACATTTTCCCATTCCACATCTCTTGTTCATCACGTTCGCTGTTCGCTCATAAACGAGGAAGCCCTGTGCTCGCGGTCACAGACTACAATCCTTCGCACCTGCCCACCGGCAGACCGGATCAGCGGAGAAGCGCTGGCCGAGACCTGCAATTGAACTTCGGAGACTTCGGAGTCGAGTTGGCAAGTTGGGGACAGTTGGGGCTTAGGACTTTGGTGCGTTGCACGCACGATGGCAGCAAGATGAAAAAAACAGGCAATATGTCGCTTCAAGACTCGGATGTCGCTACCTGTATAGCAAAACCTCGCACGGTTGGCACCTCTTTTGCGGAACTGGAACCGGAACAACACTCCGATCCTCCGATCACTGAGGACTTCCTGGCTCCGCTAGCACTTGAAACATGGCATTGGGGGCAAACCCTGTGCCACGGGAACAGCGCGACTCGATGCGTGTGATTGAGGCGCGAATGAGGTGCGAATGTCACAGAGATTGCTTAGGAACCTCGATCATCCATGAAAAGAAACAAGAGAGGACCGGGCTGAAGGCCTGACTTACCCAGAGGCAGCATCGGACAAGCGAGGGTATCACTGCTGGCATCTGCACGGAAGTGGCAGACACAAGCCTCGCTCAGCAACAACACCCACATGAGCATCCGCATCCACAGCTGCAACCGCAACCGCAGGCGCACCCGCACGTCTTGGATAGTCCAGGTGACACGGACGAAAAACAACCAAGTCTACCGGATTCTGTCAAAAACAGGAAGTCAGGAAGTCAGTAAAAGTAAACAAACAAACAAACAAACAAACAAACAAACAAACAAACAAACAAACAAACAAACAAACAAACAAACAAACAAACAAAACAGTTGCCAGATTTGCAGCTGCGAGAAGCGCAAAGGGCAACGTCTTCCTTGGCCCACGCCGCTTCATCGACGCGGCCGTAGTAGTCGCAGAGCTGCATCTTGGTGCGCGAGAACATGTTGTCCATGGACGATTTCTGCTCTTTCATGCCCTGCTGCTCCAGGAGAAGGTTCGCCGGCTCGTGATGGAGGAAGTGGCCCAACAGAGCGCGGGTGTCTGCCTGGTACTTTTTGGTGTTTAAGATGTGGGCGTGCCATGCATCATCCACCTTCTTCGACGGCACGGGGCTGAGACCGATGCTCACCAGGGCGAGGTACTTGCGGTATTCCTCCGCGAGCTCTGCGGCCTTCGTGGGCGAGTAGCCGTCCTTCTTCACGAGAACCGCCACGACCGCATCCAGATCCAGCGCTTTCACGTTTTCAACAGATGCGTTGAACCTCTGCATCTGCTGCAGCGATGGTCGGCTGCCGGATTGCTGGCACACAGCAGGCTCAGTCGCGCCTGGAGCTCCGAACTCTGAACACAAGTCTACCGCAAGTCTGAAGAATACACGAAGCACACTCGGAAAAAAAAATAATAATAAACAAAAAAAACAGCAAACGGCTGGCCAAGGCACCCGAAACCGAGGCCCCCACTCCGCGTGAGTCCAGTAGCGACGGTGCGACGCTAGTCAGGCCAGTGTCGCTCAAGTCGTCTCTATCTCCCTGCAGGGAGGCCACCCAAATCTTGATGTCTTGGATCTTGCCTTCGGGGTTCACCTCGAAAATCAAGAGTCCCATCCGGGGGTGGAGGTTATTGCCCTTGTTCTCGATCATGAAGGCGCCTCCGTCCACGGAAAGGAACCCTCGAGCCCCAGTGGCATTTTCGAAGTCGCGGAAGAAGTCTATCACTGCAGCCTTCCCGTCACGAACGTCAGGCGCATCGGTCACTTGCGACATATGCGTCAGGTGCACGTCGGCCGCCAGAAGGTCGTGCTTCTCAGCTGCGTTGTTGTTGAAATTGAGCATCCACGTCTCCATGGCGGCTTTGGTCAACGCGACGCCTGCCTCCCCGACTTGGACCATCGCCTAAGAGTTCTCTCACTGCAAATCTGCGCTAGCCGACAGCGCGAAGCTTCCAGCGAAGCCTTCACAAGCTTCAAGGGCTCTAGCTATGCCTACGGCAGTGTCGCACTCCGCACTCTAGCACCACTGAGATCCTGGCTTGTAGGGGGTAAGTGTTCCTGGCCATGGATCCGTTGCCCGTGTAGTGCAAGGTGAGATTCTCGAGCCCTGTGTCGTTGAGGTCGTCTACGTCCTTGAAAAAGGTGGCCATGAAGATCTTCACGTCCAGAATCTTCCCGTCACCCACCTCGAAGATGTCGGCCCCCATGCGCTTGCCCTTCTCAATCTCGATGGCAAAGGCCTCCTGGTCCACGGACAGGAACTTCCGGGCTCTGGTGGCATGGCTGTAGTGGTGGAAGAAGGACAAAGCGTTCTCGAGGCCCGTGTGCGTCACGGCCGTGTTGGTGTGCTGCGAAGCCACCATGACGTGGACGTCCTCTGCCAGGAGACCTTTGCGGAGTTCAACCTCCTCGTTGATGTGGTCCAGCCACTGATCCATGATGGCCGCTGTGTCAGATGGGTCCGTGCTCTCCGAGAGAGCAGCTGGCTTTGCTGCCGACCACACAAGTCGGTCAACCATGCCGAAGTAGTCACAGATCTGCTGCTGCGTCTGCTTCAGGCGACTCTCTTCCAGTTGCTGACCGAGGGGGTCATGTTCCAGCTGGTGGCCAAATACCTCCTGACAGTCCCGCTCGTACATCTTCGTGTACCTGGGTCTCGCGCGAACTACCAGGGACCCAATACCAGGAGAAACACCAGAGCCCCCGACTGCCCCAACTCCCACTGAAACATGGGGAGCCACCCACCTGGCGACGGCGAGAAAGTGCTAGAAACAAGTGCGCTAACATTTCGGACTGGTGGCATGATGTGGGAATGCCAGGCGTCGAGAACCATGTGGGAGGCGATCGGCGTCTCCCCCATGCCCATCAAGACAAGGAACTTCCGGTACTCATCAGCGGCCCTCTTCGCAAGCTTGGGTGCGTATTCGTTCTTCTTGACAAGGCGGGCGAGGACAGGATCCAGGTCGAGGGCGAAGACCTTCTGCGAAAGCAGCTCGAACTTTGCCCTCTTCTCGCCCAGTAGCGGAGCTCCTGGCAGGGGCACGTGCAACGCGCAGCAAGTCAAAAAAAAAACTGGGCCGAGGCGGCACGCGAAAGTCGCACACAACGCGTGACACAGGCAGGGCTCCTGCCGGCTCGCACTCAGAGCCCTCAGGATGCCCAGGCCCATCCTTTTTGGCCTCGGCGAGAAAGGCCATGAAATCTGAGTGCTGCTTGTCCGACTTTTGCTTCTTCATCATCTTCTTCGTCTTCTTCTTCTCCTTGATCTCTGGCGTCTTCTTGAGGGACTCCGCTGGCGTCGCCTCCGTGTCGGACAGCACCTTATGGGATGAGCTCAGGCGTTGGATCAGGCTCCCAGACTGGCACGCTTCCGCGGTTTCCGCTCCTCCGGCATCCGCGACGTCTGTTCCGGCCGCGTCGACCCGAAGGGTGTCGGCAGACACCCCGGCCTTGAAAGCCAACGCAAACAAGAAAGCCACGACGCATGCGGGCTTCATGGCAATGTCAATCCAAGGTGGATTGGCGGTAGGTGAGAGGAAGGTGACTACAGCAATCTTGCTCTCGAGCCAGGCTGAGCCGGAACGAGATCGACCACATCTGATCTACCGAGATTCCAGCATGTCGTGAATTGGGCCCTGGAATTGAGAATAGTTGGCAGCAGGTTTCGGCAGTGGACTTCCTTCAACTGAAATCTGTCTCCCCCGAAGGCCCTTCAACATTCACCATCTACGAAAGGCCTCACAAGTCCAAGCCCCAACGCCCCCCCCCCCCCCCAAAAAAAAAAAAAAAAGTGCAAATGACGCCCAACCACACCCAGGCCCAGGCCCAAGCGGCCAAGAGGAGGAAGCTGCACCGAGGCCACCATGGCTTCATGGCTAGGAGGAGGGCTTCTCCTCCTTCGCACCCTGAGGAGCCCCTCTCCCCAATTACAGGCTGGGGGGAAGCGTGGATGGGAATGGCGTTGAAGGCTTCTTGGGCCTGGTGACGGTTTCTTTTTTCGGGTCTCTGTGTTAACAGGGGTGGGGTTCCCCAGGGCTTGCTGAGGCATCTGGGCTCCAGGTGTAGACAAGGCCTGACTTGAGTGGCTGCGCTCAAGTCCCGTTGCAAGGCGCACACCTCAGACCCCAGCTCCACCCCTTCGCCATCCTCACCTATCCTTGCCAAGAGTCCTGACATTTACCACAACAAGGTGGCATTGTGGCTGAATTGCAACCCCTTTCTGCGAAAACGCACAACCGCACCCCCCCCAAGCGCTCGAAGGCCCAGCACACCCAGAGACCGTGGCGAAATCTGGGGCGTCCGCGATGCCGTCCATGATGGCATCACAGGCTGGATGTCGTTGGTCTATATTCTTGGGGGGAGCCTTTTGAGGGAGGGGTTTCAGCATTCAATCCATGCTGATGCGCACTGTTCTTTGGGAGGTCTCAGGACCTGAGCTCTACAAGCCCAAGCTTTTGAGCTGGGAACCTGAGCCATGGCTCACAGGGCTTCTTGGGGAAGCTCAGACAGCTAAGAATGTTACTTTCCACATCTGAGAGCCCAAATACCTCCCGCGAGGTCTCTGAAGTCAAGGCGGAACCTCCCCCTGCCCGGAACTCTCCACCTTGTCCTCCGCCGCCCCAAATCAACGGAACTTGATTTCTTAAGCCCAAACTCCTCAACCTGAAACCCACAAAAGTCTGAAGCCGTAAGCCCTTACAGTTCGATCGCCAAGCAAAGCAGAGTTCTCAAGACATGCGTCTGCGGATATGCCTCGAAGGCCGGAAACCTTCTCGAACAATATCCAGCCTGCTCTGGAATTGCCTCACCTGACGCCTCAGCCCTTTGGCAGCTAAGCCCAAGCTGAAACCCATCAGCAGCCCCACCCTGCAAAGGCAAGTAACAACAAACGCGGCGCACCTCAGGGTCCCCTTACCCGTTTGCCTTGCTTGCTTCTGCCTTGCTTTGCTTTTGCCTTGCCTGGCTTACCCGCCTCCTAGGCTCTTTCGAGATCGGGACTTAGAAGTGAGAGCAGCCAACTGCAAGAGCCACAACACGATCCTTAAACCCTCACAACCCACAAAAGCAGCCTTAAATCCTAAACCCTAAACCCGAAGCCCTAAACCCTTGGCATTTGCCGACTTCGCGGATTCCGGGTAGCTGCTTTGGCCGAGCAGCGTGCAATTTCAGGACGGCTTCCGAGGCAAAGTGGCTACATTAGGGTCAAGAGGGCATATGAGGGCCCTTGGGGTCACGGGGTGTCTCTATTGGAGTCCTTTGCTCTACATGGGCTCCTTCAACAAGTGCCACCCATATGGAGGGTTACGATTTCAAGGGGGCCCGAATTTTGACCCCGAAATAGTAGGATTCCCTTAGGATAAGGACCCCAATAAGGTGAATATGGGAAACCCCCATATCGGCCCTAACTTCGGAGCTCTCAGTGGGGTTCCCATGATTTGGGCCTCGGATGGCAACTTCGACTCCAGTCGCTAAAGGGTCTAGGGTTTGGGGTTTAGGGTTTTTGGGGTTTAGGCATCCTCCAGGAAGATTGTGCCTCCATCCCGCAAAATCCTCCGAGATTTTAGCCCCAACAAGTACTCTTGAATATCCTCTTGAACTACCTGAATAATGGAAAATACGTATTAAAAACAAAAAAAGAAAAAAAAAACAAGGGTTTTAGGGCAGTTTAGGGAAAAGGGGGCCGACCCAGACTCGGAAGATGCTACGTTCTACATCGCGCGCTTCGGAAGCTCTCCTAGCAAAGCACGAGCAAGGGGGCCGCTTTGGAATTCAAAGCGCGCTTGCTGTTGCTTTGTGGGGCTTAGGGTTTAGGGTTTAGGGTTTTTGGGTTTTTGGGTTTTTGGGGTTTTGGGGTTTTGGGGTTTTGGGGCTTTGGGGTTTTGGGGTTTTGGGGTTTTGGGGTGTCGGGTTTTGGGGTTTTGGGATTTCGGGTTTTGGGGTTTTGGGTTTTGGGGTTGAGGGCTTCAGGCTGTGTTTGGGCCTGTGCAATTGTTTGGTGTTGGTAGCCGTGCAATCAAGCTGGGGCGCGTTGGCATCCCTTGTTCTCAATTGCCAATTGCAAAGGAACCTTCTCAAGTCTCCTGACGGGCAAAGATGATTGGAATGTGGGGGGTTACGAAATAAGGGACTCCCAATATAGACCCCCAACTAGTAGGGTTCCCTTATAATAAGGACCCCAAAAAAGGCACCCGTCACCCCCCTATTTTCCGAAACCCTCATATGCTTCCGTGTCCATACGTCTCGGACTCGCATGCGTGGGCGGGATGCGCAGATGCCCAAGTTGAATTGGGCGAATTCCGTGCAAGTCCCGGAGGAAAAGGTCCGTCAACTTATGAGACCGACGCTCCAAGAAATTTGCGGGCAGGGAACGAACCCTGAGACGCGATGCAGAATTTGGGGCTTAACGTTCAGCATAGGGGTCAGAATCCTTACGAATAGTATTCCAGCATGGTCCGTAGATAGCTATAGTGCAATAACCCCCAACACACTTTCTCATCATCCAGGCCCCTACATTATATTCGGTGACGTGGGTTGTTCGGGGATTTTGAAGGGCTTCGCGCGAGTTCGCAAACCTCGGCCTAGGCCGAAGCAGCGAGCTGTGCGGGGTTTACAAAGGAAGGAAGGTCAAGGGAACCTAGGGTTTAGGGTTTAGGGTTATAGGGTTTAGGGTTTAGGGTTTAGGGTTTAGGGTTTAGGGTTTAGGGTTTGGGGTTTGGGGTTTGGGGTTTGGGGTTTAGGGTTTAGGGTTTAGGGTTCTTAAGAGTACTCTGATGCGAGGTGCAGCTCCCGTGAGCTGAGTGCCGGCACCTTGGGCCACACAATGCCGAAATCTTGTCGGGGTTCGGGGCTTCCCCCCCCCCCCCTGCCCTCCCCCCTTCATGGCCTGTGGTTCATGGTGGGTGTTTAGGGTTTGGGGCTAGGCTGTAGGGTTTAGGTTGTTCACTCGCCTCCCGTCCTTCCTGGTGGTTTGAGTTTAGGGTTGAGGGTTGAGGGCTGAGGTTTAGGGTTTTTCCCTCTCGCCATACCACGGTCGGCGAGGGGGGTCGAGAACCCGGAGTGCTGTGGGCTTCTGATGACCCTGAGAATCACACCTGCCCCATAACGTTACACAATACTGCATTAGAACTCATTCCTCCAAAGTCTGCGGTTGCCAGCCGGGCGTCGTGAAGCCGGGAGTAGTCTGAGGGATCCTGGTGCCAATTGGGTCTTTCTAGCTTGGCTTAAGAAACCCAAGTGACCCTAACAGGAACCGTGCTGCTAGTATGTGCTCGGCACATTGCGTGGTAGAGGCTTCAAAAGCTGAGGGGACTCTCGCTCCATCCCTTTACCCAAGCTCGCACCTGAGGATCGGAGCACTCCAGCAGCCGTGACCGCAGGGCCAACGAGGAAAGCGCACTCCTTGGGGCGGAGCACTCGATGAGGCTGACGTCAGGACTCTGAGCTTGAGGCGGTTTCGGACGGGCCGTGGGCTTCTCCCACAGCTTGGGTCGCTCTGCATGTTGCAAGCAAATCACTTCCCACACCTCAAACCCAAATCTCGAAGCGCAGGCTCAGCCAGGTTCACCACGGCATCCAACAAGACTTCAACAATGCGGGCTTCTTCTACGTTGCCTGCAGCTTCGTCTGCTTCTGTCTTTGTACAACCAAGACGAGGGCGGAAGCAGCACCAACTACTGGACAGGGCTCGGGGTTTAGGATCTTCAGGGCCGACGAGGGCCTTCAGAGGGCCTTCGGAGGGCCTTTCAGGTCGCCTGAGTCATGTAGGTGTCCACCTTTCGCCGAGACTCACCACGGAGATTCCCACAAAGGACCAAACGAGCCTTAAGGGCAGTCTGGCTTCTTGAGCACTTCATAAGTGACGTCAACCCAGATCTCTAGGCCAAGTGCCAAATTTGGATGCTGTCAAGGGTTGCCCGAGGAGCCAGTTCTGGAGGGTTTCGAAACCCCGAACCCTAAAATAAGGGGCACTCTCTGAGCTTTCCTGCGTCGAGGGGCCAGTTGCGCGAGTCCCTGGCCACGATCACCTTCCCAGAGGGGGGGAGCTTCGGGATCCGTCAAACGCTGTAAAAAGAGGCCGCGGGAAGTTACTGGAATTCCGGGAGGATGCTCCGACGCTGCGTGGCATCCCAGAAATTTTATCCAGAATCAGAACCCATGACGCTCACTGTTCTGAGTTCAGGGTCCCCCAGATTGGGGGGGGGGGGACTTTCAGAGCTTCTAATGAACCCAAGAGCGTCCGGACCTTCTCTGCCAGGAACTTCTTTTCCCTTCTGGCAGACATGTGGCTCCTGCGAGGCAGAACTTGGGAGGGTCGAGGGGGTCCGAGCGACGCCTGGGTTCCGAGGACTACACGCACCCAACTGGCATCCCTCAACGCCTTCACGTCACCGAAGCACAACTGAAGCACATCTGCCACACGACTTTTGCAGCACAAGGCTCCAAGCTTGTTCTTCGTTGGCCGCGTCTCCTGCATGTCACGAGCGCTTGGGGAGAGGTC